GATGGTGTTATAGATCGCCGGGCTATCAGTGACCAAAAAGTTGACGATCCTAGTCACGTCTTTGGCTCGGACAAGCAGCTTAATTAATCCCAGCGTTATTATCGTATCCCCAGCGAAACCAGTCAGAGGACTCGGGGTCAACTTGACTTCGGACATATCGACTCCCATTTTGACTAGGGTATCTTGAAAGATAACATCTACGGAACTCCCGATATCGATGAGAACTCTCGCCATGTCATGATCTTTTACGATCAGTTTAATGACAAGCGGGTCATTATGCGGCCTATCGATGCCCGTGGTTTCCCGTTCTTCAAAGGTAATGATATCGTTTGGGTTTTTCGTTGGCACGGACCAGTTGATGCTCGCGTCGGCTCACCTTTGAAAGGATTTGATCGCGGAGATAGTGTCTCGGCAATATTGCGATCCGCCCATGATCATGTTTATCCTTTGTCGTGTCCCCGGTTCAGTTTCTTTGTCATTCTTTCGATTACGTTTCGGGGTTGCACGCGGCCTCACCTCGGGATCTCTCCTCGCCTCGGGGTCTCTCCTCGTCTGGGGGCCTTTTTCTTCTGGAGCTGGCTCGCCTTGCTGCTCTGCTTCTACTGCGATTTCCCCTTCGAGGTCCTTCAAGGTCACCGTGTCTCCGAGCTCTCCTGCTATGAGTTTCTCCGTGAGTTTAGCTCCGATTTTTTGGCACTTCGACGTCGGGTGTCTGTAGGCCTTGTGCACTTCACAGTATGCTTTTTCGTCAGATGAGTTTGGGTTCCTGATCCAGGTATTACTCCACGGGGATTTCCCTCGGCTAGTGCTTATTTGATAATTATGAGCTCCTCGGAAGTTCGGTCCTTCGTGATGTACATACGAGTTATTCAGGTAACTCTTTTTTTGGGATGATTGGCTCGGCGTCGCGACTTGACTCTTGCTATTCGCCTTCCCCGAACCAAAGCGTTGATCTAAAGTTTTGAATTCTTCTTCTTCCAGTATAAAGTCTGAAGCGTGGTGCATGGCATCCTGGATAGTTTGCGGCTAGTTTCGGCTTATCTCCTTCCTAAACTCCGACTTATACCAGAGGGATTTCCTCAAAGCGACGAGTTCTCCCTTGTCGCTCACATTCTCTACTTTAGACATGACTGCTTTGAAGCGCCCCATGAACGCTCTCAGCGATTCGATCGGACCTTGGGACAAAGTCAATAGGTCAGCGTCTGAAACACATTGATTCATGAACATTGAATATTGTTTCATCAATTCCCTGGTCAACTCTTTGAAGTTGTCGATTGAATTCCGTTCCAATCGCGAGAACCATTCAAGGACTGCTCCTCGAAGGCTTTCTACGAAGAGCAGGCAGAAACCAGTGTCTCGTTCATTCTCCTTGAATTTGGATCTTGCCATCGCGGTATTGAACGTCCTGACGTGCTCCTTTGGATCGGTCGTTCTTTCGTAGGTGGGTAGTCAAATTTTTCCAGGGTCGGAAACTCTTGCTTCCGTGATCCGAGTGGTGAATGGGCTTTTCTGGACTTCCTCTAGCAGCAAGTCTATCTCCGGCGCTGCGCTGGTTGCCTTATGTACCTCGGACCTGATGGCTCGGGCTAAGGCGGCTCGGATCTCGCTGAGGGCATCTCCTCCTCGGCTCCCATGTCTGTGTTGGATAATGTGGCTCCGATTTGTGGTTCTGTGCTCCTCGGAGTATCGAGCTTGTTCGTCCCAAGAGAGGTCTTCACCCTCCTCGTCCGAGTCGTGCTCGTGCTCCGTATCGCCAACATCCCCTTCGGCTCGGATCTGCATCGTTGTGGTATTGTTTGCATCAAGTTAGGTCAGGTCCGTCTGCGTCTCCTCGGCCGTAACCGGATTGGCCTCGCTCCCAACTGGTTCGTCATTGGTTCCGCTCGGCTGTTGGCCTCCTTGTTCCTGGACGACTCCTCTTCGGATCAGGCGTGGTGGGACTGTGATGTTTGGCCTTGTAGCGGCAACTGTCTGTTCTTCGGGGGCAGGTCGTGATTGAAGAATTCCTGAACCTTCGGGTCTGCTGCTGCTCGTCACTAGTGTAGAGAAATTGAGTGTCGTAGGGTTGAGTGACTTGAGTCTGTGTCTCTTGAACCTGCCTGGTGGATTCGTTGGTGGGAGGATGCTCCCGATGCGCTGGCTTTGGGCTCGGCTCTCCACTGTTAACGCCTCGAGAGTTTTGTCTTGCTCTCCCGTCTTCTTCGCCAGCGTCGCCAACATCTCCTTCACCTCGGCTAGGGCAGCCGTGAGCGCCTTGGTTTGCGTCTGCGGATGCTGAACTGTGTCGCCTGCGCCTCCATCGCCTCGCCCAACTCCGGTGTTGTCTCCGTCTTGTGCTTCGGTGGACATCTCTTCAGATCTTACGTCTCTCGGTTCGTGGGTGTAAGAATTCTTTAATCCCCCCTCCTTCTAGCACCAAATTGTGTGTGCTGGATTTCACACAATAGAATTTGTCTGTTAAAAATAAAAGAAGACGTAAAGATTCTAAGTTAAACACGAGAGAACAAGGATCCTAAGATGGTGATTTTATTATTGCCGCTTAGATGAGCTTTTGGTACAAGTATTTTGCTAGAGCTTTGCTAGGTAAAAAGCCGATCCTTTTACGAATGAACTAAGTTATCTATGTATACGACTTCTCTACCGCCTAAGCGAGAATCTAGGAGTATATGATGTAGATATTCCTTCTTCTCTCTCTTGACGGCAACCCCCTCCACAAGGCTTCGTCTTCTAGGGTAAACGTCGCTTCAGACCTCCTTGTGGGCTTGGGCTCGGCCCGTAATCCAAACGCTTTCGCCTCGGGCTTGGTTTTGGGCTTCGTCTTGACTTAGTCCATAAATTCTTTAATTTGGCTCGATACTGAGCATATCTGGTTTGGTTCGGTTTGTGTATGGTTTCTGACCGAGGCGACGGTTTGGCTCGGTTATGCACGAATCATGCACAGTTCGGTTCAGCTCGGTTTCGTGCATAACTCGTGCATGTTTCGTGCGTGCTTCAGTTCTCTTCGGCTCCATGCACAAATTCTGCACCGAAGCATTTCAGCTCGGTTTCTGCACAATTTGTGCACCGAGGTGTTTAGCTCGGGCCTTGCACAGTTTGTGCACCGAAGCGTTCAGCTCGGTTTCTGCACAATTCGTGCACCGAGGTGTTTCAGCTCGGTTTCTGCACAATTTGTGCACCGAGGTGTTTAGCTCGGGGCCGTGCACAATTTGTGCACCGAGACGTTTGGCTCGGGTCGTGCATAGTTTGTGCACCGAGGTGTTTAGCTCGGGACCGTGCACAATTTATGCACCGAGGCGTTTTGCTCGGGTCGTGCACAGTTTGTGCACCAGGTGTTTAGCTCGGGCCTTGCACAGTTTGTGCACCGAGGCGTTTGGCTCGGGTCGTGCACAGTTTGTGCACCGAGGTATTTGGTTCGGGTCTTTGCACAGCCTGTGCACGGCTCGTTCTCCTGCACATTTTATGTACAGTCAGGAATAATTTCCATACTTAGTTATTTTCTTGATTGATCTCGTCGGGGTGAATACCAACCTCAACAGTGCTGATACAACCAGATAGTGTAAGCGACTAGCAGATATATTGAAGCATGACATGTTTAAGGTGCAGAGAGAACTTGTGTCGTATTACTAGTTTGCTTAGGTTCTAATACTCAGTCATCAAGAGGGAGATTGAAGATGTATTGCTGACTGATTATCGAACCTGCTAGGACAGGATGTGCTACAACTGATGTGACAGATGAAACAGAGATACAAAGTTAGAGCATCGATATAGAGGTTGTGGCAGTTCAGGCAAAAGACATTGAAATGGAACTGACACACAAGCTGAGGTAGTACTTGAACGCAGATTCTGAGAAAGTACTTGGTGTGAGCGTTGATACAGCAGAGGAGGTATCAGAACGTGTGTTAAAATCTGGTACAACGATGTATCAGACATCGTACCAGGAGGCAAGGACTTGACGTCGACCAAAAGATGACGTGGCAAGTGGCTTGCTGAGCTGGACCAAGTTGCCAGGATATGTTATATTCGTTGCAACAGATTTGGTAAGTCGATAAACTTGAGGAGCAAATTGTATCTATCTGTAATCGCTGGAGATCCTAGGGTTTAGGGTTAAGCGATCAGTATATATACTGAGGCCGTCTCATCAAGATAGTGTGCGCCTAGCGTATCATTAACAGAGGCACACGTGAGTGTGGCATCGCCCCCACCACACAGACAGGGTGTAGATCTATAAGCTTTGTTGGTGGTGTTCCTGTGAATCGAACAATCTGCAGAAAAAATAGGATGTGTGAGGATTCGCAGTAAGATTTCATGTAGAAAAGATTGCACACAACCATGTATTTATTATTTTGTTCTAATAAAATTATTCTGGATGAGGTCCGTGAATGTAGGGAAAGCTGAACCCGTTAACAAACTTCTGTGCTCATTCTTTTATGCACTTTATATATTTGTTATGTTCCTCTCATCGTTGGAACATGTGTAATGCCATAACTATGCACTTTGAGATCTCAGTAGAGCGAGAGGACAGATGCAGACAAGACTTCTGTGATTTTAGGTTTCTTTACTGCGGTGAAAACAGAAATGTTATAAATGATTTCTTGCCTACTTGGTGCCTGTTTATCAACCCCGACGGCATAAAAAATTCAACGGTCTTTAACTTTCGCATCTTCACTGATGCTCTTAAGAGTGGGATCGTTAAAACAGATGATTTCTGGAAGAAATGCTTCTACTGCTTCTGGTGGAATCTGCATAATCTAAGGTTTGTAACATGTTTAATGTAAATGTAGGAGTCATGTGACACATTTGATGGTAGATTAGGTATGAGCAGTGGCTCTCTAGTTTCATCTTTAGCCACATATGTACCAAAGACTAATCTGATCGCTTGCTTTTCTCATTGCAGTTCATTGGGACAAAATATCAACACGAGCAAATTCGTTGGGGATAACATCTTTGCTGTATCAATTTGCATATCTGGACTAGTCTTATTTGCGCTACTCATCGGCAATATGCAGGTAAATCCTTGAAGAAGTCGCTTTAACCCACTCTTTTCATTGCCTTACTTTCATCCCAACACTTCAGTTCTGATGTTTTCATTTTCCATTGCAGAAATACTTGGAACTTCGGGAAGAGGAGATGAGAGTCAGAAAAAGAGATAAAGAGCAATGGATGGCTCATCGGATGTTAACAGAGGACCAGAGGAGACGTATCAAAATTCTAGTTTTTAAGAGTAATGCATACCTCAGGTAGTTTTCTCCTTCTGGTCTCCATTCTCCAATAACTTATCTGTGTAGAACTTTTAACCTTCTAAAATCTGACTTTTATTTTATGTTCTTGTGGCAGATTCTTAATCCAAACCCATAAGCCATGTCTAAGATGATAGAAGAAAATGCAAGTGCGGAATTTCTCCATTTGTTGAGCAACTATTGTGCCATTCAGGTAAAGTAAATTTCTTTGCAGCTGAAATACTCTGAAAATGTCCATAATATATTTTCAAGCCACCCTAGAACTCTTCTCATGTGATCCAGTTTCATGTTATATCATTGAGTTGTCTAATCCGCAATGCTTCTTTTTCTTCATAATTCATGTGCAATCTCACATATAGCCTTTTGCTAGCGTTATTAAGCCAGTCATATGCATGCCTGACATATCACAATTACAACCAAATTGTGCATGTTGGGGATGAGTATTAACTCAAGAAATTAATTTTCTCTTACATAGCATTCTCTCTTTTCTGTCGTCAACGATGTTACATTCTCTTCTTTTATTTATTCTAAAAGGTGTAAATGATAGACCAGTTGCTGGAACCTTTGTTACTGTGGATGTTTTTTTGGTGTGTGATGAATAATATCCATTTTCAGAGTTTTGTTGAGGATAAATTTGGTTTAAGGTTTAATTGCCAGAGCCATTAAAGAAGGAATATTTGTCATCAAACCTAGTCCTGGGCATCCGACCCGGACCTGACTGACCTGAACCGACCCGACCCGAAAAACCAGTTTGGTTCGGTTTCGGTTCTCTTCAAATAACCGATTGGATTTTAATTAATTTTAGTTTGGGTATCTGTTCGGTTCGGGTAAAACCCGAAACCCGATCGGTTACCCGAACAAACCGAAAAAACCATAAAATTGATTTTTTTTAACCTAATAAAAAAAAGTTAAATTTAAACAAAATTATACACCAATTCCACCGATTCTTCTTCCCCTTCTTCAGTCCTTCATCTTCGATTCTTCTTTCCCTTATTCAATTCTATATCTTCTCCTTTATCTCTTCTTCTCGCTTCTCTTTCTTCTCTACCTCTTTCTTTTCCAGCTCCTTCTTCTCTCTTTTCTCCACTACATTATTCTCCTTCTCCTAAATCAAGAGATGATCGACATATATATTGGAAGAGAACTGTTCAAAGCCACATGCACCTTACTTCCAAATCGGCGTTTTCCTTCTGGTAGTGCTTTTTGAGAGTCTCTCAAGCTGTTCGCGGCTGCGTCTGAGGTGGTCTGAGTGGCAAGTTCCCTCATCTCTGTTGGCGGCGGCTCCTTCGTCTCTGGTTTAGCAAAATTAGGGCTCTTGTTTTTCCGGTTTAGAATCGGTTATCTATTGTTAATTCAATTGCTTTTTTAAATCAGGCTCAATTGTAATTCTGGTTAAAGTTTGTTGGGCTTTTTGTAGTTTAGTTGTTTTGTAAAAGCCTAAAAGTCTCAAAAATATTAAATAAGAAATGGTTTTTTCGGGTTTATTAGATCCATTCGGGTCTATTCAGGTCTTTTGGGTGAAGCCCAATAACTTCCGGGTCTTTGTCGGGTTTCCCTTTTTTTATAAGACCCGACCCGATCCGAACAATACCCGAACCGACCCGAACCGATATTTCGCCGGGTCCGAAATGGGTCCTATACCTATCTACCCGAACTACCTGAAACCCGAATAACCCGACCTGACCCGACCCGAAAACCCGAATGCCCAGGGCTAATCAAACCTGTACGGATTATGATATCCAACATGGGCAAGGTGTCTATAGACGTTTGTTTGAGCGGCAAGGAGTCCGTGTTACGCAGATGTGGCAGACTAAAATACTTCAGGTAAGGATTTAATTTTTGTAAGGTCATGCTCCTCCACAATGGCCACTTGACATGTGTGTTTCTCAGGCTGCAGATACCAATATCTCGGCATTAGATGAAATTGAGAGGAGCAGCCCTCACCGTTTTGAGTTATTTATATAAGGTCTAAGAACAAACACACTTGTCTAAAAAGAACAACTCTCCTTTTATTGATGTTTAGAAAATATAACTCAAAACTAAACATCTTGTTTTTGATATCAATTGTCATAGCTCCACATTGATATATATAGGCATTAGCGTAACTTTGCTAATTTTCTTTTTCTATCACTATTGAAGATAGGAAACTACTCTTTCCTTTTTTCTAATAACAATAGAAGCTTTCCTTTTATGTTGAAGTTTATCCAACATTTTTCCTCTTAAGCTTCAATCTTGATTTTGACATGTCTTCAACTCCAATGAGGCTTCTCATTTCACTGAATTTGCCAACGCCTTGGTTAATATGTCTGCCTTTTGTTCAGTACTCGGCACATGTTCAACATCCATCAACGTGCTTGTTGGAGGAGAAATGAGCACATTTCCTAAAAATGTTCTTCTCCATTAATGATAGCCTATCAAGCCGAAGTCCATCAGATTAACCTCCTCAAGTAAAAAGAATATACTTGAGGATAAGGGTAAAATCTCCGAAGAATAAGGAAAAGAAGAGTTTTTCTAAACGGAAAAGGAGAAATATTCCTAAATGAAAAAGGGATGAAACTCCCATCTAAAGCAACCACCAAACTATGAATGGCTTGATCCCTTTGCAAGGGTACGTAGGTAGCCTTTATTAAAATTCCAGCTATAACTTGATAAAAAAAATTCTACTCTAATTTTATTCTCCTGAACCCAAACTGTTAATCACAAAATCCTAGTGGTGATTTTCTGGTTCAACAGTGCTTGGGAGCAAGATTCAGATTCCGCCATGTCCATTAACGTGCCTTCTTCTCTTGTAAACTGGTTATCATCATTTGAGACAAACAAAACCTTGTTGATTCATCTCTCTACTAATCAAGGTAAAAGCTACATTGAACTAGCCACTGTTAATGATTTAGGATTTTGACGTGGCTCCCAAATTCAGTTTATCAAGGTGCCAAGTCTTTCTACAAGGAAGAAGACGAGACTGTTGCGGTCAACGTTTACGGGAAATCGAAAGTTGCAGCAGAGCTTCTCATCAAAGATAAATATCAAAACTTCACGATACTGAGTAGTACCATCATTGGTCCTCAGACTGTATCACCACTCCCCAAGAATCTCCCAGTTTAGGTGCTTCTCGATACAACTTCGCAGCACATATCAATATTAGATCATTCTGACTCCATTGAATTGGCCATTTTTTAGTGGATGGATAGCGTCTTACAGAAGGGAGACACTGTAGAGTTCTTCCATGATGAGTATCGTTGTCCCATCTACGTCAAGGATCTCGTGAGTATCGCCTTCAAATTGATACATCGATGGGTCGTCTCAGGTAAGATTCTTCCTCTTGAGTCTTGTCTCTGCATCATACAAAGATTGATAGTAACAAGAAAAGATTGTTTGCTTTCAGATGATAAACAGATGCGGCTAGTTTTGAATGCTGGTGGACCAGACAGGCTGTCTCGTGTTCAAATGGCGGAAGTGGTTGCACAAGTCAGGGGATACGATCTTTCCTTGATTAAACATGTCTCTGCAACATCGGTATGTGTAGAGGTTTAATCAATGATCTCACTCGCTTGCTGAATACTGCAGACGAGTCACTTAATGGGTTTGTAACTGTGTCTGACTAGGTTGATCGAGGAGTGGTTTCACCAGCAGATATATCAATGGACATAACTAAGTTGATTCAGATACTTGACATTGATATGCCAAGAAGGGTTTATGTTTCGAGGAAGAAGAAGATCAAAGAAGCAGAGGGAATTAATCCAAATGCTGAACCGGTTTAATTGTTGGTTTTCGGTTTAGTGTTGTAATTGAATTTTGTTATAAATACTGTCTTGTTTCCTTAGTTGGGGATTATTCAGAAAGATAGAGAGAGAGAAAGGCTCATCTCTGAGATTTGTTCAGGGATTGAAAGAAAGATTCGCCTGCAAGCTTATCCGCTTGGGTGTGTAATCATTTGTTCATAGTAATAAAGTGATCGTGTTCTTATCAAATTGGTGCGTTCGTGAGCGTTCTGGAGAAGACAATCGCGACGAATCAAGATGACGAAGAAAAATCAGAGCGATGAAGCAATTCCACAGATGTCGCTGGAATCATTAGCGAAATCGTTCCAATCGGTAATCTCTTCTCAGATCGAGATGGAGAAGGAATCTCGTAGGAGGTTCGGCGATTTGGAGAACAAATTTGACGCGATTATGTCAGCACTACAACGCGACGCGATGAGTCATCAAGAGAAGCCGAAGGAAAGCGGCAGACCTAATCCGATATCGCAAACGGAACAGGTACGTCCTCTTGACCGGGAACCTTGCCGTAGCCTTAAACCGGAGGAAATTAGGGTTTGGATTAGTCTGGAAAACAGCAGAGAAGGACTGCTGAGGAAAGTTGAATTACCGACATTTTCCGGTGAGGATACATACGGATGGATTGCGCTAGCTGAGCGATTTTTTCAGATCAGAGGATATGATGACATTGGGAAACTCGATTTGGTCTCTATTAGTTTAGCAGGAGATGTGCTGAGTTGGTTCAACAGCGAGATGCATCGACGGTCGTTTGCCTGTTGGAAAGAGTTTCGGGATCGGTTGATTGCTCGATTCAGTAAAGAGAAACTACGTGATCCGAGTCAACCTTTCTTCAGAGTTGCTCAGACTGGTTCAGTGGCAGAGTATATACATTTGTTTGAAGATCTGTCGACACAAGCGTATGGTTTAACCGATGCTTAGAGAGAAAGTGCCTTCATGAATGGTCTGAAACCAGAGATGCAGGAAGTGGTGATATGTGCAAGCCTGTTAACCTCGAGGAGATGATCTCGTTGGCGTATCAGATGGAATCAAGCACCTTGTATCGAGTTGTTTGCAAAGAAAGGCAGCAGAATAATAAGTCAACTCAAGGAGGTGGGATTTCAGCCAACAAGTCGTACTCAAGCCACCCAACCAACAACACTTGGAAGATGAGAACGAATCAAGCTGTTAATACTCAGAATACGACTCCACACACGCGATTGGGGTTTCCTCGACCTCAAATCCGCTTAACACCAGAGCAAGTAGCAGAGAAAAAGCGACTCGGCTTATGCTTCTATTACCCTGAGAAATTTACTCGACAACACGTTTGTCCAAACGCATCGTGTCAAGTTTTAACTATGTTGAATGGTATAGAAATAGAGATTGTTAACCAAGATGAGTTCTCGGGAGATGAAGAAGAGATCGTGTGGACACCTGAGTTAACAGCTCTTTCCCTGAATTCGTTCTTGGGGTTGCCTTCTCATACGACAACAAAAGTGAGAGGCTGTCTAAAGAAATAATCAGTAGTGGTGATGTTGGACAGTGGAGCTACGCATAACTTCATAACCCCAGATATGGCAAAGCGTGTAAGATTAAAACTAGACCAATCGTTTCAAATGCAAGTTCTGTTGGGCACAGGGGTATCTGTACACGCGTCTGGAGTATTCCGTAACGTACAACTCACACTACAGGATATTCAAATAACGACGGATTTCATCGTGCTGGAATTGGGAAATGCAGATGTGATCATGGGGGTACACTGGCTTCGAACTCTTGGAAAATGCCAAGTGGATTGGGAGAATCATGAGTTGTCATTCAAGCATCATGGCAGGTGGGTTACCTTAAAAGGAGATCCCTCTCTCCATGAGACGTCAATGTTAAAATACCTGAAATACAACTCGGAGGAGAAACAGCAGAAAATTGTTCTGAGCAATACAGAGTTGATCAGTGATGAGATACATACCACCCCTCCATTGGTGGCAAAGACTTTAAATTCTTTTGAAGAAGTCTTCAAGAAGCCTACGGGCTTACCACCATTCTGCGGCAGTAAGCATGGCATCATTCTCCAACCGGGTATGGGTCCGATTAGTGTACGACTATACCGTTATCCTCATGCCCACAAAGAAGCAATTGAAAAGTTAGTTCTGGAGATGTTGACGGAAGGGTTGATACAAGAAAGTCATAGTCTGTATTCCAGTCCAGTCTTGTTGGTTAAAAAAAAGGACAAAGTCTTGGAGGTTCTGTGTCGACTATAGAGCTCTGAACAGAGCCACGGTGCCATATAAGTATCCAATCACAATGATAGATCAGCTGTTGGATGAATTGTGTGGTGCAACGCTGTTTTCAAAGTTGGATTTACGTTCTGGTTACCATCAGATAAGCATGAAGGAGGCTGATATCGAGAAAACAGCATTCAGAACTCATGAGAGCCATTATGAGTTTCTGGTTATGCCTTTTGGCTTAACTAATGCCCCGGCAACCTTTCAAGCATTGATGAATAAGATCTTTAAGCCATTTCTCAGAAAATTCGTGCTAGTCTTCTTTGATGATATACTTGTCTACAGCACCTCTGTCCACGATCACGTCAAACACTTGGAATTGGTGTTAACAGTTTTGAAGGAGCAGAGACTGTTTGCTAATCAGAAAAAGGTATGTTTGCGCAGAATCAAGTGGAATATTTGGGGCATGTTATATCACAAAATGGGGTCTCTACGGATTCACAGAAAATTGTACCAGTTCAGCAATGGCCTCCGCCAAAAACAGCTAAGGAATTGCGTGGTTTTCTAGGCCTTACAGGATACTATAGAAGATTTGTCCATCATTATGGTCTGCTGGCAAAGCCGTTGACTGAGTTGCTTAAGAAGGATCAGTTCTCCTGGACCTCTGAATCGCAACAAGCGTTTGATCAGTTGAAAGCTGCTATGATTTCGGCACCAGTTTTAGCTTTGCTTGATTTTACTAAACTGTTTATAGTTGAATCTGATGCCTCGGGTTATGGATTGGGGGCCGTGCTAATGCAGGATCGACATCCTATAGCATACTTCAGCTATGGGTTATCCGAAAAGGAACAACAGAAACCCATATATGAAAGGGAACTAATGGCTATAGTGATGTCAATTCAAAAGTAGAGACATTACCTACTAGAACGACGATTTGTCGTAAGAACTGATCAACATAGTCTGAAGTATCTGTTGGAACAGCGCGAAGTTACTTTTGACTATCAGCGTTGGTTAACGCGTATCTTAGGATATGAGTTTGACATTGAGTACAAGGTGGGCAGTGAAAACAAAGTGGCTGATGGGTTATCTCGTGTGGTTCATACTCAAACAGAAATACATACTTGGTTGTTGTCGATGACTATGCCTTCTACACTACAACTTCAGGATCTTTTCAAAGAGATTGATGAAGACAGTGAAATACAGGATGTGCAAAAAAAGCTTGAGGCAGGGGAAGATGTGAAGTCGGGTTACGCAAGGGTCAATGGGAAGCTGTTTTACAAAGGCAGACTTGTGATTCCTCAGTCATCAAGACACATTCCTTTGATTCTACAAGAGAATCACGATAGTCTCTTGGGCGGACATTCAGGAATCCTCAAGACACTTCAACGGATACAATCGACATTCTATTGGAGCCAGATGAGGAAACAAGTTCAACAATATGTGTTCGAGTGTACTATCTGCCAAACACACAAGTATTCTACACTGTCTCCTGCTGGCTTATTACAGCCTATTCCTCTACCAGTTCAAATTTGGGAGGATTTGTCTATGGACTTCATCGAGGGATTGCCATTGTCGCAAGGAGTGAATGTGATTTTAGTGGTGGTTGATCATCTCAGTAAATATGGACATTTCATTCCCCTAAAACACTCGTTTACTGCAGTGGAGGTATCACGGAAGTTTGTCCAGGAAGTGATTCGCTTACATGGTTATCCCAAGTCCATTATATTGGATAGAGATAAGATCTTTCTCAGCAACTTCTGGAGAGAATGCTTTCACCTTTCAGGAACAAAGTTACGCTTCAGCACAACGTTTCACCCACAGTCTGATGGGCAAACGGATGTATTAAACCGCTGCTTAGAGACTTATCTCCGATGCTTTGCTTCAACTCATCCAAAGACGTGGTCAAAATTTCTATTGTGGGCTGAGCTTTGGTACAATACGTCGTATCACACAGCAACTCACACAACTCCTTTTAAGGTTGCGTATGGCAGAGATCCACCATCATTGTTACACTTTGAAAGGGGATGTACTCAGAATTTCGAGTTGGAGAAGCTATTACGAGAGCGTGATCAGATTTTGATTGAGGTTAAAGAGCACTTGACGAGGGCTCGGGATGTTATGAAGAATAATGCGGATAAACATCGAAGAGACTTGGAGTTTTGTCCTGGTCAGAGAGTTTATTTGAAGCTACGACCGTATCGGCAACACTCTGTAAGCCGACGTCTTTGCCAAAAGTTAGCAGCTCACTATTATGGACCCTATGAAGTTTTGGAGCATGTGGGAAAAGTAGCTTATAGGCTCCGCTTACCAGACTCCTCCAAAATCCATCTGGTGTTTCACGTGTCACAATTGAAACCAGTGATTGGTGAAGGTCAGACAGTGATACATTTGCCTCAGTCAGTTTATGTGGATGATGAGTTGGTGATTGAACCTGAGGCTATTGCGGATACACGGTATGATGACCAAGGGCATTTGGAGCTGTTGATCAGATGAAAAGGGTTACCAGAACATGAAACTTCGTGGTTACGTGCGGGTGAGCTGAAATAGCAGTTTCTTTCGTTTTCGCTTGAGGACAAGCTCAGTCTATATAGGAGGGTATTGATATGCCAAGAAGGGTTTATGTTTCGAGGAAGAAGAAGATCAAAGGAGCAGAGGGAATTAATTCAAATGCTGAATCAGTTTAATTGTTGGTTTTTGGTTTAGTGTTGTAATTGAATTTTGATATAAATATTGTCATGTTTCCTTAGTTGTAGATTATTCAGAAAGATAGAGAGAGAAAGACTCATCTCTGAGATTTGTTTAGGGATTGAGAGAAAAATTCGCCTGCAAGCTTATCTGCTTGGGTGTGTAATCGTTTGTTTATAATAATAAAGTGATCGTGTTCTTATCAGACATCTCCCCAACTTCTTTCAAAGACAGTGTTAGATTAACGCTCCAGTTTGAATCTCATATTCTCCCATAATATTATTGCCTATTGTGCTCTCACCACTGTTGCTTCTTTCTATGGATATATTTTATGTGCTACACTGTTAATATATAAAGAAAAATTATTCAAATTAAAATTTTGTTAGAACTTGAAATGATTTGTTCGATTTCTTGTTGAAAGCATGTTTAAGGAAACCCATTGGGCAGGTCAACAATGGGCATAAACACATGCCGTCTTTGACTTGGAGAATGAACGTTTATGAGGTTTTTATGTGAAAGAAACGGCACACAACTTGTGTATGCAGTGGGCCTAAGCCTAGCCCATATCACACAATCAAACCCGCCGTTTTTGACTTGGAGAGTAAAACTTAATGCTGTTTTAACCGTTTAGATAACGGCACGTCGTCAGAACAAGCGAATCGTTGATTCTTCGTCCTCTCTGTACGTCCTGCGACGGGCAGCCTAGAACTTGGTTTAAACAACTGGTGACCTGAAATCTAACGAAGAGACGAATTCCATCGATAGAATATTCTCCCAAGAATATTATTTCTTCCCTTTTCCTTTTACGTTTGCTTTTTTCCCCAAAACTCGACGCGAATCAGCTTTCAAATCGTAATTGCTATTACAAAATCAGCTATTCTCTTCTGGATTGGAATCTTCAAGGTATGGCTTCATTTTCGATTCTTCTGATAGTTTTGTTCATGTTTCATGTTAGTTGAGTTGGTTTTCTGTGTTTCCCAGATTTTATCGGGAATATTATGTCTTCTTCTTGTAATCGCTTGAAAGCCGCGTAGGCTCTGTGAAAGATTTTTTGAATTTACTGAAGAAAATAAGAATTTGTGATTTTGAAAAAATCCTCCTTATTGGGAGGATGCGATACTCAGATCAACTAGATGATAAGAATCTCTTGGTGTTATTATTGTCATGTGATAATTAAGCAACTAACAAGTAGAGAAGCTTTGAAAAGAGATTGAAACTTTCTATTACCACAAAACTGAAACCTATTCCATCTGCGGTTACAGGAACATTGGATTTGTAGTAGAGCTTAAGCTTGAGTTGATATGACGAGACAGCAGCAGAAGCAGCAGCACATTGCGATATTTACAACAGCTAGTCTTCCATGGCTGACGGGAACTGCTGTGAATCCTCTCTTCCGTGCTGCCTACCTTGCAAAAGACGGTGAAAGACGGGTTACGTTGGTGATTCCATGGCTGACACTGAAGCACCAAGTGCTTGTCTACCCAAACAGCATCACCTTTACTTCCCCATCCGAGCATGAAGCTTATGTCCGTCGCTGGCTTCAAGAAAGAGTCTCTTTTCCTTTAGGCTTTGAGATACGTTTCTATCCAGGAAAGGTATGTCTCTCTTTGCCCCTTTCTCCTTTTGGTACCAAACACTTACGTCTTCAAGACTCGTTTCATTTTACTCTCTCGTATTATTTCTCAATCTATTTGTGTTATCCCTCACTTTTATCTCTACCTTCTGTCGATATGGTATGTGATCTTTGTAACATATGTATGTGAAACTGTGTATTTATGCTCATACCTCTATGTTTGGCTCATATATCCTTTTTTGGCTCCGAGTCTGGAGAGAGATTGTTTTCTATTACTTTTCTCTATCCGTCATGTCTTTGTGTAATTTGCACCGAGTCTGCATATACGCCATGTCTTACTTATACGTGCCATCTTCTTTCTTGTTAGTCCTTTAATGCAACGTGTTAGCATGAGTTTAATTTTTCACTCGTTTTTGAATGTGCCATGTTAATTATGATGCATTAATCTCACTTTCGTATTCCAATGATCTTACTGCAGTTTGCAACAGACAAAAGAAGTATTCTTCCTGTTGGAGATATATCGGATACTATCCCTGATGAAGAGGCAGACATTGCTGTCCTTGAGGAGCCTGAGCATCTCACCTGGTTTCATCATGGCAAAAAATGGAAAACCAAGTTCAACTACGTCATAGGGATTGTACACACCAACTACTTGGAATACGTAAAGAGAGAGAAACAAGGCCGTCTCAAAGCCTTTCTCCTCAAATATCTTAACAGTTGGGTTGTTGGCATTTACTGCCACAAGGTAAAACTTCTTTACAGCTACTAGCTGAAGTAATTGCTCACTTATGTGAAGATATTGTTCTCCAAGTATGAGATTAGTGTGAAGGAGATAATGGTATCAATATAAACTTCTTTACAGCCACTAGTAGACACGATGGAGTGGCTGCTCAAATATTAACCCTGTGTTCACAATTCTGATTTGATGATCAAAAACAGTTTGTTGGCCTCTGTTTACGATTATCAGACCATATTGATTTGAGTCAGGACTTGTGCTAATGATGCAGGTAATCCGATTATCAGCTGCAACTCAAGATTACCCTAAATCTATAGTTTGCAATGTTCACGGTGTCAACCCTAAATTTCTCGAGATTGGTTTGAGAAAACTAGAAGATGAGGAGCAGCCATTCACGAAAGGTGCATACTACATTGGTAAGATGGTCTGGAGCAAAGGGTACAAGGAGCTTCTTAAACTACTTACAAGACACCAAAAGGAACTCGCTGGGTTAGAGGTTGATTTATACGGTAGTGGAGAAGACTCTGAAGAGATTAAAAAAGCAACCGGAAAACTCGACCTGAAGGTTAATGTATACCCAGGACGTGATCATGCTGACTCACCATTTCACAAGTAAGTCTCTACTTTAAAATCCTCAACTATACATCATGCTTGTAACATAGATCCTTCTCTTAATCTAAATAACACCTCAACATTGATTTCTTTGCAATCTATTGGATTTTATTTATGAGTAAAAACTTAAAAGAAGTTTTCTATCTTGTATCTCAGCTATAGAGTTTTTCTCAACCCGAGCACGACAGATGTGGTTTGCACAACAACTGCAGAAGCCTTGGCGATGGGCAAAACCGTAGTATGCGCAAATCACACATCAAACGACTTCTTCAAACAGTTCCCTAACTGTAGAGTCTATGACGATGAGAAGGGTTTCGTTAGAGCCACGCTCAAGGCTCTTGGGGAACAACCATCACAGTTAACAGAACAACAAAGACATGAACTTTCATGGGATGCTGCTACGGAACGGTTTATAAAAGCCTCAGATCTTAACCGATTATCAAGAGCTGATTCCAACTTATCAAAGACAAGTGTGTTCGCGTCGTCTTCTATGAGTGTGGGGAAAAATTTGGAGGACATGTCTGCGTATATTCACTTCTTGGCGTCTGGATTTGAAGCTTCAAGAACAGCTTTTGGTGCAATCCCTGGAAGCTTGCAACCAGATGAAGAGTTGTGCAGAGATCTTGGCTTGTCTCTCAAAACTCCTTCCCGAAATAGTCTCAAGGAAGATCGACCCGTTTGACTGATATGTAAACATTTTGTTCTCTCTGTATAATTAATGTATTTATGTATCACTGTACATGGATCATTTTATAGTCTTGGTGTACTGTTGTGGTATGTTTATATGAACAAGAACATTACTGATCTTAAAAGAAAACTTTTTGTATGTTTTGCTGTTTGGTATAAATTTTAGAGAAATTGGGTCAAGTAACCATATAAATTTCAAAAATATACAAACTAACCATAAAAAACCATAGTTATGATATTTTGTATATATATACAAATTTATCTTTCTGGTCTTTTTTTTTTTCCTCCTCTTTTCTCTTCTCTTCTTTTTCACTTTTCTTTACCGTTTTCTCCTCTTCTTCTCCTCCCTTTCCCCTCTCCTTCATCTCCCATCTTTTCCCCTCCCCACCTCTCTTACCCTACCTCCAGGACCGTGCCTACTTAACAAATAAAAAAACATTCGCCTACGTCACTCAATTTTTATATAAAACTTACAAAGTAAATTTATGGTTTCGCCTATGTCATTTAATTTTTATATAATTTTTAGAAAGTAAATTTAAATATATTATTATGATATGAAAACTATTAAGTTTCTATTTCTGTGTATTGATGATCACACTAATATCTCAAGACTCTTTCTATAACAAAAATTTAAAAACTGGAAGTCAATTAATACATTAGCTATTAGGTTTATATTTTTAAGCTCTTAATTTTTGTTCTTTATAGTATTTATATAACCACATATTCATTTCTTTTTCCCATTTTTACCATGTTAGCTATTGTTTCTTTTTAAAATTTCACCAATTTTTTTTGTTTTAAATATTCTGTTCTTTAAATTTTTAAGTTTAGTTAAAAATTTAAAAATATGTTATATACAATACAGTCTCTTTTGGTATTATATTTTTTATATTAAACAAAAAATTTAAGATATATGTTTTTGTAAATTTTTAGTTAATATTATGTTTCAAAAATAAATATAGCTATTTCATATATTATTATATAAATATAACATTTTAATATATATAATATATATATATATTTGGCCTACGGCATCCAAATGCTTAGGCACGGTTCTGCCTACCTCCCTCCCCCGTCCTCTCTTATCTTCTCTTCTTTCCTATACAATATATATGAAACAAACATTTTATAAATAGTATAATATAGTAGTATAAATTGATATAGTATAATATAATAATATGTTTATAAATTTGGTTTGAAGGGTAAAACAGATAAATATTAGGGTTTTTGGTTATTGAATAAATTATAAAATTAGTATGGTTATATTCTTTATTTTGTGGTGTAATGTGTTTATATCACAAATTAACTCTAAATCTTAACTTTAAACCAAAAAAAAATACTGATTTGACTTCGTTCACATCTACTACAACATATTTTACTAATGCACATGGGCAAAAAACATTTTTCCCTTTTTTTGGTTAAAAATATAAATTATAAGAAGAGTAGTAGGTTTAGTAGGAAAGTAAACCCTAAAATTTACAAGAAAGTTAATTTCTAGAAAAATTATCTAGTCAATGGGAATGAAAATGGAAATAATAAGTTAATTTCCAAATTTGCAAATGATAAGAACAGATTTATGTCAAAGATATGAAAACACATTGACTATATAGCATTTCTTTTCATATTAAGGTAAATAGCTTTTTGTTAAATTCTATCTTTTATCAAAACTAAATGACTATATAATGTCTGGGACAATAGTTATTTTTCTAAATTCAGAGAGCTTTCAGTTATAAAAAAAAAATTAAAATATAGCTTCTTGGTTTCTATATGAATATTGTTATTTAGTTGGTGTAGATCTGAAGTCTTTGTATATTTATGATTTATTTAAATTTTAACAAATATATTGATGCAGCGAACAATAAGTTTGATTTAGGTTCGAAATTTACGTTGTAGTTTGAAAATGATAATTTTACAAAAATAAGATAAAATTTGAATATTTTTTATTTGTTTATTATTTTTAAAATGTGTTAAATTAAAAAAAAATCAATGCAAAAAATATTTTGGGAAAACTATAGAAATATTAAATGTATTTTTTTCATTGAAAGGATTCAAAATAAAAGTAGAAAGAATCTTATTTTTAAGCTTTGCTATTGTGGATTTTTTTCAGTAAAAAGAGAAATTTTGTACTTTTATAATTTTTTCAGAGTACTATTTTGCAATGAAAGCAAATTTATAATAATTATATATTAAAAATAATAAACAAAATATATATTTAAGTTTTATAAAATCATTATTTTCGAACCATGTAGTAAATTTTATTGTTCATTGTATCACTATATTTGTTAAAATTTATAATATACTAACTTTTGTAATTAAATCTGTTCAAATGTATGTTATTCTTCTTTCAACTGCATCTTCTATGTGATCTAACAAACAATATAAATGGTATAATTTGTCATACTTTTGTAATTAAATCTGTTCAAATGTATGTTATTCTTCTTTCGACTGCGCCTTTTATGTAATCTAAGAAGCAATATAAATGGTATAATTTTGAGGAATTAAAAAAAACAAATATCTTATGATCAATTTTTAATAAAATCTCATGATTAAAAAAACTAAAATCAAGAAGAAGAATTGACTCCTATTCTTCCGGCAAGCATATGTTGTGATAGATTAATTATTCACGCACAACACATTTAAACATCAATCTACTTGACAATCCAAATCACTTGCTATGTTATGATAAATTAATTATTCAAGCACAACCCATTCAAACACCAATCTACTTAACAATCCAAATAACTTATACAGAATGTTATGATAAATTAATCAAGCACAACACATTTAAATTCACATCTGAATAGATAACTTATAGTACAGCATTATTACATCATCTTTCAAAGGGATCTTGTCTTGTAGACAATACAGATAATTTAGTACATCATCTTTTAAACGAGCCGCGACCACTGCCACTGATCCTCACGGGGTAGCTAGAGGTGAAGAGATTACATTTGGAAGTCCTCCGGATTTGGCGTAACTAGAGAGCCAACGAGACTGAAGCTTCCCGTATCCTCATGGAGGCGTCTTCTAACTATAGCAAAGCGGTCCAAAACCTTACCAGACTGAGCCTCGTACAAGTCCTTGTACCTTACGTAAAAGGTCGCATTTAGGGCATTGAGTCCCTCACCATTCGCATCCATCGCGACCTTCACAATCTCCAACGTGGAGGGACCATAATCCTTAGCTTCCCTACTCCTATCCTTTGTGGCAACAGCAAGTTCCATATATAGACGAATCCAGTCATCGTCTGATTCCTCCACCAGGTTATATTTTTCAAAAGGATTCTCTGCCGGCCACTCAGGTAAACTACCATTTATACGAGTCACTCCTCTGCCATTGCTTTTATCCCCTAAATCACCAGCAACATTTAAGTTAAGAGATGAACAATCAATGCAACCATATTAGATAGTGTCTTACCTCACAATCCATATTTGATAGTGTCTTACCTCACAATCCATATTAGATAGTGTCTTACCTCGAATTCTTGCAAGGTTGCACAGCAGAATAAGTCTGCCACAAGCTTCTTCTGATACTTCAGTCTGAAAAATTTGAGAAGAAGAGCCATTAGCTGGATCCATTGCATCCAGAGTTATGTAGTAAGAGCCAATAACAACGCCAGGTGGCTTTGAGAGTATGTATTTCTCCACGCGACTCAGCTGAAACTTTGTACCCTGAAGAAACCGAAAGAGCATAACTGAATTGTAGCATCACAGCTGAAAGAAAGAGCAAATTGCGTGTGGATAAAGAAAAAAGAAAACACAAACAAACCTGCAGCAAATTGTAACGATGAAGGCCCATCCTAGCGTACAGCAAGACTAAGTCAGGACAAGGAAACCGTTCATCGCAGATGTTTTCCCCTAGTCCGACCGTCGAACCCTTGATGTCGAACACCTAAGTAAGAAAAAATTAATTAGCAGATAGATTTCAACTCGGAGATATGATCAATCGATTAAAAGTAAGGGAGAGGTGAAAGAATTACATACACCGTATTTCTCCACAAGTTTCTCACAGGCCCTCTTCCGACGAAGACATGCATCTCTCCGATAACTTCCACCACCAATCAGCTTCGGTGGCATTATTATCGTCGATCTAGGTTTAGGTTTAGGTTTGTCGATTTAAGGCGAAACAAAACTATGTGAATTTTAAAACTGGAATTTTCTTTTTATTTAACGTCAAAAAACGGTTTCAGTCAAAGTCAAATCTCTCCGTTCTTGCCAATGTGTTTTAAAGTACTGAACCGGTCTGGTTTTACATCAAAATTCACTGGAAAACTTTACCGGGTACGTAAGGTTTGTAAATCTTTCTTATTTTTTCTGGTTCAAGCAGATAAAACCGGTTTCTTGGTCCAAAACATCGTATCTTAATAATTGGTTAGAGTTTATGGAATGAAATAGTTTGCTTACGATGTATTTAATAATTGGGATCTTATAACAACATACAAACATCTTATTACGTATAGTGTATTTGATGGACTTTTTCTAACTACACAAATTTTTGAAAAAAATCATATCAGTAAAAGGTACAATAAGTTCATGAATCAATTTCTGCTGTTCTTGAAAACACACACGTATATGATTTCGATTCCTTATTCCGTTTTAAGAGGATGAATATTATTGGTTCAACACCAGGATGTAAGAATAAAAAAGTGGTGAATAGTAAAGAAATTCTTTGTTATTTGGTAAGATACTTTTTTAAATCACATTTTTTCTTAAATCCACACCAGATAAATATAAAACTAAACTGGTGAACCGTATAACGGTTCCTTGTTAATTGTTGGTAAAATATGTTTTCATATCACATTTTTTTCTCAAACCTACAATCACTTTAACCAGATGCTACTATAGATAACTAGTTTCCACACTATATAATGACGGTTTGATATTTTTAAATAAGTATTTATTTACTGAAACTAGTGGCAAAACAATTTTAAAGCCTTCTGTTTTAATGAAAAAGAAATCAAGGTACTAGAAAGTGGCATGTTCATGATATTAAGATTTATAAGTTATTGTATTGGAGATGCCATGAAAATCGATGACTTTTCATAATTCAACTATATAGTAATTATTAAGTACCTAATTTTGGTTTATACATATGAGAAATAATTATGTTTTAAAATGTTAAATGATCATTGATTATAATAATTCTTGCATTATTTTGCTTGGAAAGAAGGAAAGAACCTCTCAGATTAATCAAAATTATATGAGAAACTGCACAAACTTTGAGCAAGATATAACGATCTCATGTTTGAGAAATAAAGTAAGACCCACCTATTCATATATATGTTTATGTCATAATCTATCATATGTAGCGCCTGCTTTCGGCCCATTGTAAATGATCATGTCATCATCATTTTTCGGACTCCAATATCGACTCCAACCGTGGAAGCATACTAATCCGGCAGAAACAGGATAGCCATCGTTCAGACGTTGCAAAGCTAGCTCTAAGTTATTTTCATAAAAAAAGAGCTCTTTGATCTTGTACAACTCCTCCTTAATCAAATTCATGCTCTCTAGGCTGTTCTCTGGGCACTCCATATAGTTTAGCATACATCATCTTTGTAAGCGCACTATGACCAAAGCAAGTGTGTTCAAGCCCATCTTCAACTGCTGTGCATTTATTTCCTTCATACTTATCTTGATTAATGTTGCGGCACAAATATATGAGTGAGAGCGGAACAAATTTTTTGTCCAAGCCATGTAATACTCTAACCGAGTTGATCATATCACAAGAGACATATGCCCAGCAAGCTCTGTGCTGATTCTGATGAAGAAGATTCTTTCATTGGAATGATGAAAACTCCACTTGGGTCTGAGGCACTCAGTTTATTTCCAAAGGATTTCATTAGTCATTTGGAAACTTTCGGGATGAAGCCCATATATCAGAAGAACAGGCTAAGAAGTGTTTGAGTGATGAACGGTTCAACTTTGACCGTTGGATAGCAACCACTGTTGTGCTTTCGTAGCCGTTGGATTTGTCTGTCTATAAGATGACGATGAGTGATAGTTTTAAATCAGTTTAGGTTTGATTGATTCAATTTATGTTTACTATGTATTGTTCTCTAATTCGTTTTATAATGTTTTATTTTCAGCTTGAACTCCATTGTGAGCGGCTTTGGCATTGGCTACTAACACTTGAACTTCCACTAATCTATTGATATTTTGTTATTTTTGTATTCGTCATTGATTTTAATATTAATTTTAAAATGAGTATATGATCAATCTGGAAAGTTATGATTACTGATGTGGGTTGGATCATACAATGTTTTTTTTTTTTTGGGTCCAAATCATACAATGTTAAGAATAGTAAAAATGAAATAGAAGAACAGTATGACCAATATATGTGATTAAGGATGCTTAGCTAGATGATTGATGTGATATTTGGTTGAGGATGCAGAAAAGAGAGTGGTCCTACAAGAAGATGAACTAAAGAATGATGAACTCCAGAACATGCAACTCTATTGTTTTGTATGTTTCTTGCAATGAAATAATTTTCATGTCGAATTAAGTCTTTGTGATAAAGGCTTGATTGATAATATTGGAAAAAGATTGGAAAATATATTCACGTTTGATCTAATAATTTTGATTTCATTGTTATCAAATATCCAGACCTCAACAAAAGTATCTAAAACTTTTCTTGATATTATTGCATGCTTTCCTGGTCTTTCTTGTTTTTCATTGCTAAGATAAATATGACATCTTAAGTGAATTGGTTTAGTTTTTTTTCTTTCTCAAATGAGTAGTTCAGCTCCGTTTTTATTTTGAGAGATCATTGTGGATCTTGATCTTTTGTTTGTTATTCCTCTAAAATCTTGATCATCTATGGAAACCCATTCCCACACAGGACGGAGAATAATATTAGGAATCAGGACTTAAGAAGAGACTGGAGCAGTTTTCTAGTATCCCCTTGTCTGATTATGAGTCTAGCTTTGTCAATGAAAGCAACATGCATGATGTCCGAAAGTTAGATACCATTTCAGATGAAGGAAACTGCCACGAGTCCTCATTGGAGGAACACACGCCTTCATCCACAAGCTCACTTAGAGGAGAAGAAGAAGAAACAATCTCATCACCAGTACAATCTGATTTGTGTAGACGCAGTTGCAAGGCTGATATGTGATTTTTTTTTTTTGGACTAACAATAGCTTTTTGGTTTCTTTTGTAGTTTTCATATATATTTGAAACCATCAAGTTTAAGAATTCAGCAGTATCGAAAAATATTTGTTTTGTTCATACTACTACAATAACGATATCTTTTATAGTATTATTTAAATAAATAATAGCAGGTAATAATAGCATAAAAAGTAGGAGGAAAGATCGAAGCTTCTTCACTTCTTGTTACATAATTTCTCACCACTTTCCTAATTTCCTAATCTTAGCTAACTGATAAAAAGTTAAAAGAAAAGCATTATAAATATATAGGTATAGTAAGAAAGGAAAAGAAAATAACAACAACAACAACAATGTCTCGTGAGATCCTCCTCTCTGATTCATCGTTAAGCAAGAAACCAGCGTCTCGTGAAAGCCTCCTCTCGTCTGATGCAGCGTTACGCAGAAAGACTCGTAAACTCGAAATCACGGCGATATCGGCGGAGAGTCTGGTCGACGGTGGAAAACCGGTGAAGAAGAACGCCTTCGTGGCATTCGAGCGTGGACGAGGTCGGCGGGGATTATCCGGTGTGGGAAGAGAAGCTAGAGACTGAGTTTTGGACGTCGGAGAAGAGAGAAGAGAGTTTCATGTACGTCAGGGTTTATAGGCGGGTCTCCGGGAAGGATAAGCACGTGGGAACGGCACGTGTGCCGGTTAAGGATTTTACGGGAGGATACGCGCCGGAGGGGTTTTTGCAATGTCTGAGTTACAGATTGTGGGACGACTATGGGAGAAGGAACGGGATTGTCAATTTCTCGGCGAGGATCGTGCCGGATTCTAAATCCGTCGCGCTTCCGTTTTGGTTAAGGTACGGTTAGGTTAAATTTAGTAGGAGTCGATTGATTGTTTACCCTTTCTTACAGATTTGTTTAAATTTGTTATTTCGGTCTAGTGAAACTAATTTTGTCCCGAGACTCCTTGAATAACGTATTCTCTTTGAGATGAAATCTAACAGATGAAGAGATACAACAACCAGTTGAATTTAACCTTTACCAAAAAGAAACAATCAATTGAGAAAAACGCATGCATGACACAAACACAAGTGTTGTGAATCTACGTCAGAGATAACATCACCTCTCTTCCGTTCATCTCTTACCATATCTCCGGTCAAGAGTCAAGACTATTCTCTACCATTAAAACGGCAGTTTCATGTTTTAACTACACAGACAACTTTAGTACAGCAATATTAAGAAATAGTACATCATCTTTTAAACGAGCCGCGACCACTGCCATTGATTCTTCTGCAGCTTCACGGGTAGCTAGAGGTGAAGAGAACTCATTATGAAGTCCGGGTAACTTGAGAACCAACGAGACTGAAGCTTCCCGTATCCTCATGGAAGCGTCTTCTAACTATAGCAAAGCGGTCCAAAACCTTACCAGACTGAGTCTTGTACAAGTCCTTGTACCTTACGTAAAAGGTCGCATTTAGGGCATTAAGTCCCTCACCATTCGCATCCATTGCGACCTTCACAATCTCCAACTTGGAGGGACCATAATCACTAGCTTCCCTACTCCTATCCTTTGTGGCAACAGCAAGTTCCATATATAGACGAATCCAGTCATTGTCTGATTCCTCCACCAGGTTATATTTTTCAAAAGGATTCTCTGCCGGCCACTCAGGCAAGCCACGATCTATATGATGAGATCGTCTTTTGACATTGGTTGTTTCCCCTAAATCAGAAAAATTAACTTCAGAGATGGTCTCCTTGTATACAAGTGAACAATCCAACCATATTAGATATATATAGTGTCTTACCTCGAATTCTTGCAATGTTGCAAGAGAGAGTAAATCTGCCATAACCTTTTTCTGATACATGAGTCTGAAAAGTTTGAAGCGAACCAGCTGGATCCGTTGCATCCAGAGTTATGTAGTAAGAGCCAGCAACAACGCCAGGTGGCCTTGAGAGTATGTATTTCTCCACGCGACTCAGCTGAAACTTTGTACCCTAAAAAGAAGATTATTGAATTGTAGCATCATTACGTGTGGATAAAGAAAAAAGAAAAACCTGCAGCAAATTGTAACGATGAAGGCCCATCCTAGCGTAGAGCAAGACTAAGCCAGGACAAGGAAACCGTTCATCACAGATGTTTTCCCTTAGCTCGAGCGTACCACCCTTGATGTCGAACACCTAAGCAGACAGATTTTAATGGATCAATTCGGAGACATGATCAATCTATTAAAAAGTATCAATCTATTGCAAGTAAGGAAGATGAAAGAATCACATACACCGTATTTCTCCACAAGTTTCTTAGTGTCCCTCATCAGACGAAGAGATTCTTCCCTCCGATGATTTCCAATCCGCGGCGGCATTATTGTCGTCGATCTAGGTTTAGGTTTGTCGATTTTAGGCGATGATGCTTTTCGTCGATCTAGGTTTAGGTTTCTCTTTCTTTTATCAAACGGTTTCAGTCAAAGTCAAATCTCTCCCTTCTTGCCAATGTGTTTCACTGAACCGCTCTGGTTAAAACCGGTTTGTGATTCTTGGTCCAGATTATATAGTATCTTAATAATTGGTTAGAAGAGTTTATGGAATGAAATACTTTGCTTACGAACTTTATAATGTCTTTTAGAAGAGTTTATGGAATGAAAGCACTGAACCGCAGTTTACGTTCATCCTTTTGAAACGGCAGTTTCATGTGCTCTCTAGAACAGAAAATTGAGAGAAAAGCTGTCTACGTTCATCCTTATGACAGACACTGTGTGTCGTTTATGTTGAGCAGCAACGCTAAACTGCTTACCGATATATGAAATAGTTAAAACGGGCCTCAAGTGATATGGGCTATGGATTGAAATTGAAATAATGGGCTATGGAATGCGTCGTTTGTGCTTGATCTTGTCGCACGCTGTGTCGTTTAAATGGGAAAACATGTATTTGCAGTCTCTACAATAGAAGATAAAAACGGCACCGTGCGTTCTCTGCTGCTTCTGCTCAGACGAGATGAATCCTCAAACCGACAAGGTCGTGAGGAGAACGACGATGGTGGCGACTGCTGTTGCTTCCTACTTCCTCTTAACCGGCGATTACGGTCCCGAACCAAACGTACTTGATCCCGTGAGTTTCGATTGTTTATATTTCCCATTATATTAAGCCTCTTGATTTCGATCCCAAGAAAATCTGAGAGTTTCTGAGCATGAAAACTCTCGTTTCTGTTACTTCTTTCTCCATGCCATTTCTGGTTTGAGATTTGAATGTGAAGACACTTTCGTGATATGTTCTCATTCTGTGTCCATATGATCTGTTCATGTTAGTTTTTGAGTCTTGACATTGTGTGTATATTTGCAGGTCAAAAGGAAGATAGTATCAGCCCAAGATTCCGTGAAGCAATTCATCTATCGACCAAAGAGAGACCAATCTGGGAAAGGAGAATCTGACAGTGCAAAATGAAAGCTGTAGCTAAGAATGTAGAACTAGTTACTTTTGTGATCAACAAAGGTGTTGTTGTACCCTTTCACTTGACTTTTCTCCAGCAACTAGTTCTTTTGATCTCAATTGTAATAATGAAACAATAGTAGTATATATGTTCATCGCAAAAGAGACCATGTTGTCATATTTCAATGAATCAAACCCAGAGAATCTGTTAAGAGTCGCCAATGTACATTGCCGAAACAATGTAGAGATTACATATTAACACCTCAACAACACATCTCTCTCTCTCTCTCTCTCTACCTAAACCTCAAGGAGAAAACAGATACTGTGGTCAGTTTTAGTTGATTCTCCGCCTAGTGAAAGCCGGGTGAATGGTTGCGGCCAAAGAATCGAGTTTGTGGATCCCCTCTATACACTCTCGCGCTCGTTTTACAACCTTAGGAATATTCGCAGCGTTCCTCGACATTCTTTCCTTTAGCTCAACCATTTTCTCTGCAGAGTCTTGCTCTCGAGTTCCCAGCGCAACAGGCCCAACTCCTGTTTCTGCATATCAGTAAAAACGCAAAAAGAAAACACCGCAGATTGGTTAATATAGCAGAGGAAGAAGACAAAGGATCACTGCAGGTTCTTGTGTGTTTCTCTACACATAGCATTGGTCTAATAGCTATAACTTCACAAACCCAAGATCCTGCGAGTAGTGATCGCTCAATCATCAATTTTCTTGCTCAAATACACTCATATCAGTCATATGTCATAACTTGCACACTTGACAATGCAAAAAAAACATATCATTTTCACCCAGATTGAAGCTAATAAATGATCAGTGTCATAACTTTCACACTTGACACTGCAAAAACCATCAATTACGTTCGTTGCATAGAGTGATAACTTAGTAATGGAATTCCACAAATCTCCCAACTGATACATGACCATGTAAAAATCATAATGCAGGCAAATCCGTTTAAGGCAGTGTGTGTGAATACAGAATTTAAATCAGGAAAAAACATGATTCAAATCGCGTCCATATGGTAGATTCTATCTCATCAACTCAAAGCCCTAAAATTTTGATTTGCGTATAATCATCCCTCTACCAAAAGAGATACTCCAATTCAATTTCGCATAAACCAAACAACGACCAAACAATCAAGGAAGGAGACGCCAAAGATTAAACCGAAACAGACTTGCAGAGGGAAAAAAAAAAGAAGAAGGAACCTGGGATAGTGAGGCGTGACGGCGGCAGAGGACCCGACCCGGAACCGATGTTGGGCAGAACGGGTCTATGGGAGGAAAGCGCAGAATCAAGGGTGTTCCTGAGATGATCCGGTAGGGTTTCCCTGTACTCGGAGATCTTCTTGGCCATCTGCCTCACATCTGACTCCAATTTCTCCAGATCTCCTTCATCCACGTCGATTTCAGGTTCCGACTCGGCATCTACGGCCATCGATTCCATTGAACCTTTGAAATCCCGCCTTGAGATTTTCCTGGGAAGAGTTTCACTACCGGAGGGTTTTTCAAAAAGAGAGGAGCGTAAACGGAAGGAACCTCTTTCGACTGTGATGGTATTGAAACGTTATGAGTGTCGCCCAACTTAAAACGACGCCGTTTCCTCGTTTATTATGTTCAACAAATATCAAAGTTTGCAAGAAGTACAATATAGTAGACCCTTCTTCTCCAGGGACAAATAATGATTATACATATTGTGAACCGAAAACCATCAAAGTGCGATCCTCAGGTGTGTGTGTGTGTGTGTATGTGTGACTTGAGAGTTCAGAGCTTGGCGCCGAATGTGGTCTTAACAGTCACAGCTTCTTTCAGTAAAGCTTCTTGCGTCAAAGAAACCACCAGCTGCACACGAATCATCACCAACACTTTTACTCTTTATTGAGAAATATCACATTTCACCAGTAGCAGTAGCAACGGATGCAACAACGTACCTCTCCCTTTCTGTTGAACATTTCACCGGTAGCAAAACCGCGGCTCCCGAACGCCGTTGGACTCACAACCTGCATAAGGGCCATCGTTTTCCCGAGTTCATATTATCTTTGACAATTTACACAAACAAAAACAAAGCCTCAGTGGCAGAGGTATAAACTAAACGAGTAGCAGCTAAACAAGCAACTTTTTCTCCATTAGTGTTCATTTCCCAACTCAGTAGATGCCATATCAAAGATGCGCGCTAGTGTTTCTAAGCAAGTTGAGTTACAGTTTACCTAAACAAAGCACTTGGATTTCTCTCTGTTTTAACTATTCTTACTTGAGTTGAGAAAAAAACTTCCTACTCCTTCACAAAAAGAAGATGAACAATTCTTACCACAAATAACAACCACTCATCGGCTTTTACAGGTCGGTGGAACCACATCCTGCATTAAGGTCGTTGAGGAGAAGAGTAAGAGACAATCACTTGAGGCATGGACGATAGAGCAAATATGTCACTATACGTGTGTGTGTGTGTGTATTAGGTGGTTTGTAAATATGCTATGAAGAGCAATACAAAACTCACACTTGGGCTAAAAGAAAAGAAAGCTTACGAATGGTCCAAGCTAAGAGCAGATGCATTCATGCCCTTTCTGCGGTGAGGGTTTAAACTGTTACATGCGAACATCAAATCTGAAACAAACGCCACCACACATCTTGTGTAATAATGGGGTTGTGCAAAGACAATCAGTCAAGTTTTCTAGGCGATTTCAAGTTTTAAAACCAATGAAGAAGAGTTGCTCACCGGTGCAGAGCTTGGCCATCAGAAAGTTTTCCCTTTGCTCTAAACCAATATTTCATTCTGCAAGATGACTTTAAGAAACACGTGCTTAGTTTTTTATGGGTAACCACGTAAACAACTCGTAGTGGTGGTTAAGACTTGATCCGTCTGATAGTAGTAAACAATTTTATTAAGGATTTAGGCAACTAGGTTAACCTTGGAGGAGACTTTGTCTGCTCTGTATGATAATTTGGCTCACAAAATCGAATATCTACAGGGAATGTATCAGCCTTATGAGTTGCAACTTTGTTTCGGTAATCCCTGAAACGAAGAAACAATTGGAAAGTGATTCACTCTGAAGTTCTAAGAATAATTGGTGTGGCACAATACTTCCACTTACCTAGGTAGCAGAGGGTCAGTTATACGCCGTCTAAGCATCTCTTCCCTTGATAGAAGCTGGAGGAGATTAGGGATGAGAATGACAATAACTGCAATTCATTATGAGTGCCTCCAAGTAGGAGAAAATGATTTTACCGTTTCCGGAGCTGGCACATGAGGCATGGTCGACTCCTGGTGAATAAAACCTTGTTGCTCTCTCTGTAAAACCACAGAGAAGAAGAAGCTATAAGGTCTTTTTCTCGATAGTAAGAGAAGCACAGAGATTGATGATGGAATATTTTCAGGAATATAATAACATGAAACCTGAAATGACGCAAACAAGGTGAATATGGTTTTTCCTTTCTGTCTTGCATCTACTCTTCGCGTGGCAAAGTTGTTGCCATCACGTAAACGCTCAACTTCATATATGATGGGAACTGCAAGAGTTACAAACTGTGATAATATGCAAAGTGTGACAGATCCACAGCAGGAAAATGGTTTTCAGTACATTGAGAACACGTCCTTACTATTTAAATCTCCAACAAGAAGGAAGTAGGAGTGTAAATTATGGACAATCTTCATAAACTCAACAGTTTTTGATGCTGCGGCAAGTGCCTGCCAAGAGTGTGTGACAGTGACCTGATATAAGCAGCACATATGCATGCAAATGAAACACATGATGTAGCCTTACGCGAGAAAGTTCCATACCTGTCCAACGAACTGCCCTCCATAAACCTTTCCAAACGTTGGAGCATCGGATAGAGTCAACACTCGGAATACGTTCAACTACAAAAAGAATGTTATAAAGCTACAAGCAATCAATCTATGATATGAAGCTAACATAAATTATGTAGAAATGTGATAGAAACAATGTTCATAATTCCAGAGAATGGTAAAAGTGAAAGTGAAATTCGTACATCTAATGATTCCAGATCCAGTATGCGTTCCACAAGACATGGTGTGTCAAGTTCTTTATCTGAATCCGAGATTGACTTGGTCTCGAGCAAAGCACAATGATCAGACATCAACAGAAAGCAGGTAAGCTGTGGAAAGAAGAGGCATTAAGAAACAGTACTCATGAGTACACATGAGCTCAAGGAAACCAAAGTTATAGCCAAGAACAGATCTTTTCAGCAAATACCTCTGACACAGCAACAACATCTGCAGAGTACACATCCCCAAAGATTCCTGTGTAGGAAAGAATAAATGGAAAAGCTAATTCAATCATAGAACCAAACAACATGTAATTGAAGAATGGCCGAAAGAAACATCCTCTAACCACGACCGAAGAAATCGAATCGTTGCAAGAGGAACTCTGAACGGTCTTCCTCTCCGACAGGTCCCAGAACCTGAGCCTGGAAACGAAATGCAAAAAGCAATCAAACAAACCCGTCGCGATTACTCTACGTGTATCTTCCTATTGACGTGACTTAGGAACACATAAGTAACTTCACCTGTCCTTGCAAGAGAAAATAAAGTCCCTCTACATTCTCATCTTCACGAACCACATAATCCCCTCTGTCTGCGAAGAAGCACAAATCACATTGCAGAAAACAGACATACCGAATCAAAAATCAGAGAAAAATCGTAGAGATGACTGACCATAACGCTTCAACACAAGGACTTGTGCGATTCTCTTCAGAGAAGAGGTTGGTAACCGCTGCAACAAGGGCACATTCACAAGGAACTCCACAACTGTAAACCAAAGCCACCATATCCAATCGTGGAGAAGAAAGAAAAAAAGATCTCAGTTCAAATATCGGTTAATTTTACCGCGCATCCATTTCTCCGGCGATCGAACAAGAGTAATAAGATCTCGAAGATACCTGATTCAGTGTCCATGGAGGATGGATGGAGGAGAAACTAAAACGTTGAAAAAATGGCTGGGAAAGTCAACTGTAGTGGGAATTGGGTATATCATCAGTATTCGTATCGTAGGATTGGGCAGAAATACGAAACCAAGTTGACCAAATTAAAAAAAAACTAAAAAAAATCAGCTAGACAAAACATGAATGTTATGTCATGTCATAAGTAAGTGCGATGGGGAAGCACGCGTCTTACTGGATGGGGAACACGTGTTAATCATGTGTCATGAATTTAATGGGCCAAAATATTAAAGGCCAACTGATTTTCATTAGCCTCGAGGGACCCAAAGCATATTAATAGAGTTTGTTTCTTTCCCTTGGGCCACATCTGACCAGCAGCACGTCTTCTTTCTTTTTTTCCAATTTCTCCGCTGTTGTGTTGGAGAGGATGCTAATGGAATCTTTCGAGCATCTATGGTGAGTTCTACATTCTCACAACTCTCTACATTCTCACAACTCTCTTCATCGTTTCCTTCTGTAACCACGACCACGAACTCTGGGTTTGACTTTACTTTCTATTAGATAATCAAATCAAACTTATCATTTCTCTCTCTCTAACTCTTAACTCAACTTGCTTTATTACTTTGATTTGTCTTCTTCAGCGCCAAAACAACGGATTGAAATCACTTGATGGGTCATCTTATGTCGAGCTTTTCCCCCTCAGTCATTCTTCATCATTTCGGACACGAATCCTGGGTTTCAGCTTGATCCGACCAGCTTATGGTTCTGCCTCTGTCCTTAGACCCCCTTGAGCCACACTGATCAATCTCGGGTCAGTGGGTTCTGGTAGAAAATTCTCCGATTCAACTGTATATATATAATGCTTGATTGCTTCATAGGCTCCCCATGTCAATACTGTGTTGTGTTCCCGTGATCGAATGTGTATACTGCTTGGGTTGTACCCATTGGTTGTGGAAGAAGTGTCTATACTCAGCAGGTCACGAGAGCCAGAACTGGGGACTAGCCACGTCAGATGAGTTTGAGCCCATCCCTAGGCTCTGCCGCTTGATCTTGGCCGTCTATGAGGAGGATCTCCATAACCCTATGTGGGCACCTCCTGATGGTTACGGGCTTGACCCACATCAGGTTATCCTCAAGAAAGACTATGACCAGACTCAAGGTCGTGTCACGCCTTACATGATCTACTTGGATCACCAAAACGGCGACGTGGTGCTGGCCATCAGGGGGCTTAACTTGGCCAAGGAGAGTGATTACGCCCTTCTGCTTGATAACAAGCTTGGGCAGACTAAGTTTGACGGAGGCTATGTGCACAACGGGCTGTTAAAGGCGGCCATGTGGGTTTTCGAGGAGGAGCATGAGGTTTTAAGGACATTGCTCGAGCAGAACCCGAGCTATTCCTTGACCTTTGTTGGGCATTCGCTAGGTGCAGGGGTTGTGTCTTTGCTGGTCTTGTTTGTGGTTCAGAACCGAGGTAGGCTAGGGAACATAGCGAGAAAGAGGATCAAATGCTTTGCTATTGCTCCTCCAAGGTGTATGTCTCTCCATCTTGCAGTGACATATGCAGATGTCATCAAATCTGTTGTTCTGCAGGTAAGATGAGTTTATACAGATTGATACACGCTTTGGTGCTTCTTCTGATCCATTTTTGTTGAATAAAGCAGGATGATTTCTTACCTCGGACAACCACAGCTCTGGAGGATGTCTACAAGTCAATCATCTGGTTAGGAAACAGTAAACTAGTTGTTAGATTATTAGCCTTTTAAGTGTAGAAAGAGAGAGAAAAAAAAGGAAACAAGAATCTAATGGTCGTCTTGTTTACATCTTAAACCATCAGCTTGCCATGCCTGTTGTGTGTCACATGTTTGAAAGATACATTCACGTTCGAGGAGAAGAAGCTCAAAGATACAAGGCGGCTATATGCTCCTGGTAGGTTGTACCACATCGTTGTGCGCAAGCCCTTGAGGTATTTATACTTTACACTCATGTGCTTTGAAATCGTTTTCTTCAACTCAAAGTCGGGTTTTCAAAGTTGACAACCATATATGTCCTTGGTGCAGATTGGGAAGATATCCTCCTGTTGTGAGAACAGCTGTTCCAGTTGATGGGAGATTTGAGCAGATAGTTCTCTCCTGCAATGCAACAGCGGATCACGCCATCATCTGGATTCAAAGGGAATCACAGAGAGCTCTCGATGTGAGTACCTTGAAATGTGTTCAGCTTTTGGAGATCTTGAGTTCTGACAAAACAACTTTCTGTGTCAGTTGATGCTGGAAGAGGACCAAGTTATGGAGATTCCGGTGGAGCAGAAAATTGTGCGCCAGAAATCGATTGTTGAGGATCATGACGAAGAATACAGAGCGGCTATAATGAAGGCGGCTTCTCTGAACATACCCATGTCTCCATCACCGTCATATGGAACATTCCATGACACAGAAGAAGGAGAAAGCTCTGCAGTATCGGGCGTGGAAGGATCTCCATCCACGTGGTCCTTCAAGGGTATGAGAAGAAAATGGAACCAATTCATAGATCGCCATTTTCCTATGGACGATGACGACAGTGAGCGTATGATCTTCAAGAAAGAGGAGTCTCCAGCTCTGTTGTCTAGTTAAGAAAACATTGAAATCTTGTTATAGGTGTACATGTAGAATGTAGAATGTAGAATATAGAACCAGAGAAGCAAAGTAGATGAAAAGATAGAGAATTTTTTCATTGAATTCGGGATATCCGACATGTGTAGCAGTCGCCTCTTGTGTTGCTTTCTAGCAATTCTTGTGAAATCTTAAGGGACAAAACATTAATATATACACTATATTCATTATACAAGGTCGCTTATTTTTAGCTACAACAACAAACTTTACTATGATGAATTGGTAAAGCCAGGCCATGACGTTTTTTTCATGTATTAGTGCTTTTAGTAGCATGGTTGACTTTCATATATAGTCACTCGGATTTGGTCTCTTGGATCTTTGGAGCCAAACCAAGATCCGGAACAGATTCACCTGCAAGTGACAGTAACACAACGTTATTAACCCTTGAGGGAGACACTAAATTCCGCAATGAGATTATAAAAACGAAAGCAATACCATGCATTCGTTTGACGAATCTCTCGAACTCTATGAAGTTTTGAGACTGCATCAGAGTTTGGTTAAGCCTCAGGTAAGTGAAACAAGACAGGTGGCGACCATCAGGATCGTTAAGGGGCTTTGCGTTTTCAAGAATCTTGTTGTAACCTTCTCTGTCATAACAAGGAAGAGCATTCTCACTTGCAACAGGTATACCAGCATCCCAAGCAGCATTCAGCACCTGAACAAGTTAACATGAAAGCAAATAGTGTTGGGCCTAACCGAGTTAAAAGCCAAATTACTTGTACAAGTTGAGGAAGTTGTTGTTACCTGCCAAACTAGACCTTCTGGGTCGGCCAGTGCCTCTGGATAATCCTCATGCTGAACAAGTGTTCTTAGCTCCACGCATGTGAAGTTAAGAGCAGCGTCATGTTTCTTCAGCATTGCAGCTATTGGACCGTAGCCATCACGGTTTGCAGGGTTGTAGAAGCCAGCAGTGAGTTCAGCAGCATGACTAGCTGTTTTATACCACCAGTGTATACCTGAGAGCTGGTCTCCAGTAAAGTAATGACATGCAAAAGGATTCTATTAGCACAAGCCGGAAAATACATGGTAAAATGTACCAAATAGAGCTTTGGCTCACCTTTGCAGAGATGCAAATGCCTTCGAAAGCCAAGTTTGCCATCGAAAGAACACGATCACCATGGTCAATCAGAACTCTTGAGTACCAGTTAAGAAAGAATCTGCCGTAGTAGCTGTCATAGTCACCTCCGTCGCGAAAAAATCCAGTCCCATGTGGTGTTGAATTATAAGACTCTGTGTTATCAGGTCCCCTGCCCCAAAAGCTGTGCCCTCTTACCTCTGCAGCCTCCTTTAAGCTCTTCATCAAATATTTATCGTAACACTGCTCAGACAGGAGACAGCGGGGAAGAGAAGATAAATCGGTGAGTAAACTAAAAAAATTGGTAACGGAAGAGATAGAATGTAGATATGTATATGCTTATGATCCATCAAAAAGAGTACCTGGAATTCACCAATACCAGGATATTTCCACCCGTTCTTTGCAGGGTATGAAGGATATCTCAGCTCCCCACATGGACCTAGTCCAACTTCGATTTCAGTGATGATATTATCCTCAAAGAATTCATCAAACTCCACACGAAAGCTTCGCATGTAGTCAAAGTAAACCTACAATATATAGAAGGATTCCTCATTACAAATTGATTTTTCATGGGAAATCCTGTCACTTGCTATGATCATTTGCTACAGGTTCATTGAGCATAGAGTAGAAATCGGTAGTACCTCAAGAGCAGTCCTTCCTCTTAAAACCCGTTGCTTGTCAATTCCCCAAGTAAGGCACTCAGCGTTACGCGTGCCTGCTCTGTCAGTGAAGTATATGTCAGGATTGCTTTCACCTGTTTCTCTCACCCACTCAGGGAGCTGTATATGCACATCGTCTCCAACATTGCCTCCACATTCATGGAACGACATAACAACCTGAAGTCAAACTTAAGTTAAAGAAGACGGAAACAGTTCATCTCAAGTCTACCAAAACTCATTTCACTACACTGAACTGAGACTCACTAAGCTCTTCCTATGATCTCAACAAAGGGAAGGCGTGATGAGTACCTGTATCTTGAGTCCAAGCTCGCGTATCATCTGAAACAGTTTCTTGTAGCCACTCCAATTATACACCTGCGGTGTATGAGCCTCCACGATTCCCCACCAGCAATCAACCATAACACCATCAACATTAACCGACTTTAGGGTTCTTAACTGATCCAAAAGCTCCTCCGCTTCAACCACTTCCGAGTTCATATCAATGACTCCCAGCTATCATTCAACAGCGAAATTAACCAAACACACACCTCTCTAGAAACATTTGCAGAACAAAAAAGAGAGCAAGAAGACGACTTACTGGTAGCATAACATATACGGGAACACGCGCTGTGCCGGCAAAATCACGCTCTTCGAAATGCAGAAACTGTTCATCAACCTAGCGAATCAAGAGTAGTAAGTAATCCATCATGATAAGGAACAATTCACGGGAACAAAACGAGTGAGCTCTCTAATGAATAGAAAATGTAATTTCACACTTACGAGCTCATCAGTAGAATCGTCCATGGAATCTTCAATCGGGACTTGATCTTCAATACTCTCTCCTCTCTGTTTCACCTTCGCAAAAACCAACGGCCTCCTAGCACCAGAAAATGTGGAAACGCCACGCCAGTCTCCAACGCTAAACGGTAGCGAGCGCCGAGCCGATACTCTCGCCGGAGTTCCAAGCTTCGCGCTCACTGGAATTACAGTATGAGTCAACCTAATCGAAGAAACCGCCATAACTATTAAATTCTCTCAGCTCCGTAGCAACATTGTTCCAGTGTTGAGGATATCTGGGAAGCCAGAAAACGAGATGGCGTTGGAAAATCAAAACCCACGTGAAGGTGTCAATGCTTTTTCATGGATCCAAGAACCATTGGTTAAAATCAATTTTTGGAATACACCAAAAAAAAAATTAAAGTTTCAGTCAGATCCGTTGAGTACAAAGAGTTTTTGTATTTTACTACTTTTTCATCACACACGTGGCAGTACGTAAGGTCAAATTTCCACGTCGGGCCTACTTAGTACGTAAGGTTAGTAATGGGCTTTCGTTAAAACTCCTATTGGGCCTACTTAGTCGATATCTCAAGTCCATATTGGAAACTAGGCGTGGCACAGAGCGAATATCCAGAATTTTAGTAATATCCGTGATCCGCTCTGCTCCGTCCGGATCAACAATTTTTCGATCCGTATTTGCTCTGTTATAAATCGGATATCTGATATTCGGATATCCGTTAAAATCTGGATTTTTGATCGGATATCCAATCTGTTTAAAAAATATTAAATAAATTATAAAATAATAAAAATATTTATAAAAATAATTAAAAATTCAAAAATTAATTCATATATTAAATTTTAAATTTTTCTTTTTAAATTTACTAAATTTTGTACTAAAATAACTAATAAAATAAATATAAATTCACAAAATTTTACATATAAATATTTTAACTATACATTCTATATGTCATTATTAATATATATACATATATATATGTATATCGGAGCGGATCGGATATCCGGCTATTAAAATTTTAATATTTGTGATTTGCTCCGTTTTTAACGGATATCAAAATTTAATATTTGCTTTGCTCCATAAAACTACGGATATCCAGATTTTTTAAATCGAATCGAAGCAAAAAGCGGATCGAATCAAATTGAACGGATAATTTGCCCAGTTCTAATGGAACTTAAAATTCGCTCGTAACAATATTTCATTATACAGTACTACATCTCCGTTAAATATGCATTCAGTATTCTGTTTTTTTTCTTTAAACCAATGTGAATAAACGGTTACTGCATCAACTGGATTTTAAAATGGTTTGATTGTACCTGCACGAGTGTTATATGAATTTCAAATCTTTTTTAAGCATAGAATACAGTTGTGTAAACCTATACTATATTGTAAATTTGATATAAACGATGTAAAATTATACTACTAGTATTATTTGAATACGTGCATTGTAGTGGAGATAATTGTATGTCAGTTGTGTCGCGTCTGTAATTAATGCTCTATGTCGCTGTGTCTTAAACAAAATAATTGAAGCTTTAAATTTTGAATTTCAGTAGCTATTTTATCGTTGCACCACTCTCGTAACTCGTAACTGTGATTTGATTTATTTCATTTTTTCTCTTTTGTCGTGGTTTCCTTGAATACAATTTGATTTAGGATCCGACGATATTGGTTAGAATTGTTTACGTATATATTAATTGCTACAGAATTAGTACTATCTAGTCTTCTTCTTTTTTGTCGCTAGAGTGTATCTAGACTTTTAGACTGTAATATTAAAAGTCTAAAGTTTTGTCTAAAGCATCTAGAGCATCCACACTAAATATATAATTGGTTATAGTGTTTGTGTTATACTCTCTCCGTTCCTAAATGTATAATGTTTTAGTTTTTTTTTTGTTCCACAAAATATAATGTTTTAAAGTATTAAATGTATTTTTTTATAGATTTTAAGAAAAGTAACTTAAATTTTTTAAATTTTTAAATTTTATTGGTTAACAGTTATTAAAGAGTAATCATTGTTAAAAAGTAATGTATTGATAACTAAAATATAATTGTTTCTTAATTTGTGTGAACATATCAAAATATCATATATTTTGAAACGGAAGGAATATCTGTTATGTAACTATGTTACTTATGTTAGAAAGAGATTATTTATAGAAATAAACAACAAGTTTTGTCGCTATGGAAATAAATGTGCATGCAACCACAAGTGGTGCGTTACTAAATAATCAATAATGTATAGGCTTCGTGGCTGGAGATGGATCAATTATTATTATTATCACGAGTTTCTTGCCTGCATTTTCAGCTTTCTCTCTCTTTCTCATTGCCTTACTTAAATTCAGTTATTTTTTTACTGCCACTTGTTATTTACTTACTGTCGGACAAAATAGTACTACTTTGAAAGTATAAATAAATCGTTGTTTGATGTTCCGCAGATTGATAATCAAACTTGAACAGTGCTGATGTTGTGATGTGTATTTTTTAATATGACGTCTTAGTGGTATCTATTATGGAGTTATTCGGATAAAATGCGCATTTATATCTCTATCATAGAAATCGGAATCTTCAATATCCAACTAGTATATATTCCATTTTCTTGCTACTACGTATAAGTACATTCTGTTTGTCATATACTTAAGATCAAGTAATAAAAAAAAAAGTTAATTATTTACATTTATGAGTACCAAACAAGATGTTCAATTTTCACATAACAAAGATGGATAAAAATATAAAATGATTGTAAGACATAAAACCTCCTTTGGTGCCGTATTACTCCATAATTAAAGTGATATGTTAACCACACGCTCTCACGCTATTTCTAGTTCCACGTATAACCTATACTACTACTACCTTGTACATTTTTGCACGTACTTGATTCTACTGTAACTAAAACGAAATATTATACAAAAATAAAATTAATATATACTCTACGATAATACTTTTTTCTAACATCAACTTAGACTAGTTCAACAAAATTTGATAAAACAATCAATTAATATATTTATTGAAATATCTATTTTAACTATATGGAGTCCAAACTGAAATTAAGAAATCATTATTCTTCGAATGTGATACTTCAAATGAATCAAAACTTCCGCTATCATATGGCTTTTTATTTCTTATCCACCTTATATTAATGAGTAATAACATTTTCAACTATCTATCTCTTCCAACATTGCAACTTTAAAAAAAAAAAAATACATAAGCAAACATAAATTTATGAAATATTGATAGAAAAAAAATCTAGTGTTAAGGCAACAACGACTCAGATTTTCAATTCAATTGAACGCTCTATCAGAATTAAAATTTTATCGATTCTGTATACTACCTGATCCGAATCTTGGCTAGAGGATGATTTCAATACCACAATTAACTCTGATCTATATATTCACAAAATTTCTTTGATGAGATTCATCTTTTTTTTTATAAGGCTATTTTAGTTCATAAAAGTTATATCTTCTTTTGTTTGATAAAAAAACCTCTATTCAATATATATAAATATATATATGGGTCTTATTAATATTGTAAATTATTAGTAATTATATAAACCAACACAAGTTAATTTAACCAAGACAATTTATCTACTTAAATAATTGAATATATATTATATGGTATGTTGAACTAAGAGTCTAAGACAATACATTGTATATTTTTTGTGGTTCGAACCTCGATTCAGATGTATTAAACTTCTTAGCATTACCCTAGTCACTAAAAATATCAAGTTCTATCATTTTAGATTTCAATATGAAAATAAATAAAAATAGATAAAGAAAATTAGACCACTGGATATTGAATTTTTCTTTTTGCATTCTTTTCAGCATCACTTACTTTATGAAGAGAACATTACCTTGGGTTTCACCAAATAGAATCCAACACTATTACCATATGTATTGTATAAAGATGAGTCGCTCCAAAAACCAAGATCATGACCCAAGTCAACCTCTCTCTCTCTCATCATTCAGACACAATACTCGACTTTAAAGTCACACTCTTGAGTCTCTTTCCATCAGGACCAAGCTGAGAAAGAGAAAGCAATAAAGAAGGAAAAAAAAGAAGAAGATAAAGCTATTCAGTACCAAACCTCTTTAATAAATTTGGCCTTTTCGTTGTCTCCTTCCCAATTAATCTGTATTTCTTAGGTTCACTTTGGTTCTGGAGGTTTGAATTCAGTACTTCTACGACATTTTCATGTCTTTCACAATGCCTGATGGTGTAGAAGCAGCAAGAGGGAGAAGTAAAAGACAAAACAGCTTATTAAGAAAACAACTTGCTATAGCTGTAAAAAGTGTTCAATGGAGCTACGCAATCTTCTGGTCCTCTTCATCTACTCAATCCGGGTAAGTATAATCTAATTCATATACAAAAAAAACATTAGATCTTGATCTTAATCATCTTTGCATTGCCCTTTTCTTCTTTTAAATCATGGGTTTAAAGATGTATATATATTAATGTATGTACTATGAAATTTAGGGTTTTGGAGTGGGGAGAAGGATGTTACAATGGAGATATGAAGAAGAGAAAGAAGAAATACGAAGCTCATTATAGAAATGGGTTGCAGAGAAGCAAGCAACTTAGGAAACTTTATCTGTGCATGCTTGAAGGAGATAGCACTACTACTATTAGCACTACCCATGATGTTGATGATCATAGTGATGATGGTGACCATAATTGTAACGGTAAAAATATGATGCTTTCACCAGATGACATCTCTGATGAAGAGTGGTACTATTTAGTCTCCATGTCCTATGTCTTCTCTCCTTCTCAATGGTTTGTTCTCTCTCCTATTAAATATTTCTTTAATATATATATATATATAGCTCTTTCGAACAACCCATATAGTTAAAGTGTAAAAGTAATTAGAATTGAAAGTGAAAGACCTATGTCCCTTCATTTTCATTTTAAGACGATGGGTTTCTATAGATATACTAATAAACTTGTTTAGTCAAGGGCTTCCAAATTGGCAATGAGTAGACTGACTCTTACTCTTCTGTAGTAGAGTATACCCTAACAAGTTTTCGATTTGGGATTCCTTTTTGTTACTAGCTAATCAATTTATATACATTTTAAGTAATTCTAAATTAAGTTTTTCTTTCTTTAGAATCCAAATTAAATATGCTTTTCTGGTTGTTTATGTACGTTTAGTTTGCCAGGGAGAGCTTTGGCGACGGGTGAGACCATATGGCTTTGCAACGCTCAGTACGCGGAGAACAAACTCTTCTCTCGTTCTTTGTTGGCAAGAGTAAGCTTCTGCGTACAACATTTTCATTTCTTCTTGATGTATCTTCCTCTCTTGAGTCTGACTATAAAATCTCTTTCGATCTGCTTTGCTCTTCATGACTGTTCGTATGGCTTCTTTCCTTTAGAGCGCATCAATTCAGGTATGCTACGTATATATACTGAGTTAAGTTTGATTGTTAGCAATAAGATTGTTAGATTCGAAAAGTGTAGTATACTTCAGTTTGAAATGATGTGGAGTGCTGTATCTGTGTGTCGTCTTATATCTTTATGGGTCTTCTACAGACTGTTGTGTGTTTCCCTTACTTGGGCGGTGTGATTGAGCTGGGCGTCACAGAATTGGTAACTCTCCATCTTAATAGTAAAAGGGTTTAACTTACATTTCTTGCTGCGCAAGTAACTCACCTTTTTGTTTTTGTTTTTGTTTTTGTTTTTTTTTCCCATGAACAATGAAAGATTTCAGAAGATCATAGTCTGCTTCAACACATTAAATCTTGCTTGTTGGAGAGTTCAAAACCAGAGTGCTCTTCTAACAACTTCTGTGTTCACCGAGATAACGATGATGAGAAGAACCAAATGAAAATTAAGACCAGTGATGGAAACACGGTGCTCGATGAGAACCATAAGATTCAGTTAGGTCTTTCTGATCTCATGTCTGATGAAGACTTGCATTACAGAAAAACTGTCACAACAGTACTCAAACACGCCGCGGAAATGTCAAAAAGGAACGATAAGAACATTCATCATCGTCAACCGGATCTTGCTTCTGGCTCAAGTTTCTTGCGGTGGAAGCGACGTGAGAAGCCAAACTCAAATCTTCTTCAGCCGTTTTCACAGAATATTTTGCGGAAGATATTGCACGATGTCCCTTTGATGCACTCTGCAGACACGCATAGAATGTTGCCAAGTAAGAGACTTGGTCTGAATCAAGATGATCCTTCGGATAGAAGAAAAGAGAACGAAAAATTCAGTGTTCTTAGAGCTATGGTTCCCACTGTCAACGAGGTAATAATAAACCAATACTAGTTTACAAAATCCTTAGAGGCTTTATTTGTTTCAGACACAAGACTCTTTATTAGATCCTTTAAAGCTTGCTCTGTATTAGAAACCAAGACTCTGTATTGAATCTTTCTGCAGGTTGATAAAGAATCGATACTGAACAACACAATCAAGTACTTGCAAGAACTAGAGGAAAGAGTAGAAGAGCTAGAATCTTGTATGGGATCAGTTAATTTCGTAGAGAGACAAAGAAAGACGACGACGAGCCTTAATGGCTCTGTGTTGATTGAAGAGACATCAGGGAACTACGATGACAGCACGAAGATCGATGGAAACTCAGGAGAAGCCGAACAAGTCTCTGTTTCCAGAGATCAGACACATTTGAGAGTTAAACTCAAAGAAACAGAAGTTGTGATCGAAGTAAGATGTTCTTACAGAGACTACATAGTTGCAGACATCATGGAAACTCTGAGCAAACTTCACATGGATGCTTTCTCTGTTAGATCTCACACACTTAATGGGTTACTCACACTGAATCTCAAGGCAAAGGTAAATTCTGAAAACAATCTTCTTGATGTTCGGAAGAGACAGATTTCGTTTTTTTCTTGACTTACATGTAACGTTTTTGGGTTTATACAGTTGCGTGGGGCTGCAGTTGCGTCCGTAGGAATGATTAAGCGTGAGCTGAGGAGAGTCATTGGCGAGAGTATGAGAATCACTTAGGGTTTTCTTAATGGTTTTTGTAAAAATATTTTGTTTTCTTAAATTTTTGATGAAATGTTGTATTTTTTTTTTGGACTTTGGTGGTGAATCTATATGTCATTAACTATAGATTCATGGGTGATTTATTTTTATTTTTTATATGATTTTGCACTTCAGTAGTTTCTTGCTAAATAAACGGACTGGAATATTACTAGCCGAAGAATATGTAACTTAAAAAGGTATTTATTCAAAACTGTTTATTCTATCTTAACAAAATGAAACTGTTTATTATTTATGGTGTTCTATTGTAACTCATAGCAAAGAGTAGTTTAAGTTATGGTGCAATATAAAACTTAATGGTTTCACTTGCATAATCCCCACTTAATCCCCAATGTCATAATCTCCACTCTACTTCCCAGTTTCTTTAAGCCTTTTTAATTTTCTGGCTAATTTGAATCTTTACATATGAAGAGAGGAATATTGGAAGTACTTCTCGTTGATGCTCATGGAATCACACACACAAATTCTATTGGTGACTATAAAAAGACAAACTTCTTTTCATATATGTTGTATATATATCTATTCATAAAAACGTTATTTTGAATATCTGGCTGCAGGAACTCCTGTGTATTATGTCTTGTTACAATGTGGGACAAAGGAATACCGAAGCAAAATGTCAAAAGGTTTAAGTTTTGTTATAGTGATAAAAAGTATTGTAATTCTTCTAATCTATAACGTATGCTCAAAGATGTGTGTGGTTCTTTATGTGAGAGAAGGTGATAATGACAACGCATTGTGGAACCAGAAGTTTGTGTTCGATTTCCCAATGTCTCAATGGAAGAAGCTGCGTCACATGAAAGTTAGAATCATGGACAAAGAGCTCTTCAACGATGGTGGATTTGTCGGTGAAACCATGTAAGTTTTGCTTTTAAGAAACTGAAATAAAGTTGAGTGGTTTATAAATATAGCAAATATTAAATATAATACCATCCATGCATGTGTCTATGATTTTTTATTTATTTAATTTTTACAGAATTCATCTTGGAGGGATAATAAGCGAAGGACGTGACAGAGGATACATGGAAGTTAAGCCAGCTCCATACAATGTTGTCCTTGACGATGATACTTTTAAAGGCCAATTAAAACTCGGATTAAGATTCATCGCAACTGTAAGTAACTCGATCAACCATTAATTAACAAGTAACTAAAATGTGTAGATAATAACAATACTTCAAGATCCATTACGTACGTGTCAAAGGGCTTTTGTTCTTTTTAGGATCCGTTGTTATTAAAAGGAAACATATTACAAATGTTTAAATATTCGAAATGAAGCTCTTGGATCTGTTTATTGAGCTTTACCAAAATCGTGAAAAGAACCCAACAAAATTATGAAAGTGTGGTATTATCCTCAAAAATTGGAGTTCTTTAGAACATCGTTTACAATAACATCAAATTGCTTAAGAAACATCAAATTGCTTAAGAAACTTTTATTGTTGTAGGATAATAAATTGCAGAGGAAGGTATGGGAACTGAAGATAGAGGGCAAAAACAGTGACGAAGCAATGGTTTCTCCAACTCTGAATCTGATGAAACTCCCTTTGTTAAGGTTTCTTCTCTATTGCTTCCAGAAAACAACAAAATATCAACTAAAGGAGAACTAAAATGATAAAAGGGTACGCATCAAATTAAACTATTTTCTTTAGTTCCTTATTATTATTATTTTTGATGACAGTATCAAATCTAAATTTCAGAATCACATAAAGCTGATTACATGACCCGATTCGGATGCTATCACGTACGAGCGATGACATTTATTTGATTTCTGTGTTTATACAAACATTTTAGGTTCATAGCAGGATGGGCAAGAAGGCAAGGGTCTCATCAATGCAAAAATTATTTATTGTTTCGTCGACTATAATAAGCAATGTTTCTATTCGTAGCTAGGGTTTCTCGATCAACCCTTTCACGGTATCGTGATGGGCAAGATTAAGATACTGTTGATGATTTTTAATTGTTTTCACCTTCAATCTCTAATATAATAAATGGCATGCATTTATATCTTTCGATGTAACATTTTTCTTACTTTCATTTAATTTCTCAACCAATCTACAAAAAACTTCACACTTAGTTTCAGGATTTATGAAAACATAATATTTTTGATTTACTCTCGTTGTAATAGTTTGGTATTGATGAATAAATCGCAACTAATAAATTATAACAAGTATGTTGAAAGTAGTTGATATTTTATAATACCATTGTATACTAAAATAAACAATCCAGAAATTAAATAAATGCATATAATGCGTGGGCTTTTTTGTTACATGGAGAAAATGGGACGCACGTCTGTCTCACGCACGAACCATGCAATATCCATTTGTCTTCTCTTCTCCATTACACTAAGTTATCATGTGCTAAAGTATAGACTTCAAATTGAAATTATATATAAATAATCACCTAATATGAGTTGCAGTTAATCGTGTAGCTACATGGGGATTAAGCTAAACTCCAGCCATGTGATAATTGGTCTAATTGAATAAACGGTTGACACATAAAGATAAAATAAAAATTTCCAATGCAGGCATTACTAGACCGACCTAAGCTTACTTTTTGTTAAAATAATTATAAAGGTCAAGAGGTGGAATACGTTGAACATTCACTCGCATCTCATCTACAATCAAGATCTTTCATCTCTTTAAATATTTCAACAAATGAATCAGAAACGAGTTTTAACTCTCAAATATTGTTGGATTTTTCAGTTTGAACAATAAAATGCTGAATTTATACATGTGATGATGTCAAAAACCGTAAATATATTCATTCGTTTGAAAACGGAAAAAGATAGAAATAGAAATCATTGGTAAATGTGCAGTCATTAATAGTTTAAACGATCCAATAATCATCAAGATTTTTTTTTTTCTGGTTGGAAACTCATTATTATTTGTATATTAGCCAACAAGAAAACCATAAAGTATAGAAGCAAATAGGCAAATAGTTGAACAGCTCTTTAAGGGTTATTTCTATTCTCATACCACAACACTTGTTGAAGCCAAGGAAAAGCCACTTCATCGTCTGCTTCGTTAGATCATTCGTTTCTTTTCATCGGACGGTCCACGTTACTCTTCTTCTTCTTCTTCACCGGAAAAACTTGCACGAGAGGGTTTTGGATTCAACAAAGGAGGGAACTTTGGTTTTTCAACGTACGTTTAAATTTTGCTTTAAACGGTTTCAAAACTTCAAATCGAAGCAGAAGCTTTAAAGGGTAAATCAAATAAAGACCGTTGCTTTGATTTTACTTTAACGTTCTTTTAAATTTAAAGTCTCAGACTTTCTCGCGATCGTTATCTGTGAATACTTTTTTTTTTTGTTTTTGAATTACATATTTTTTGTTCTTTATTCAGCAAAATTTCGGTGAATCAAAGATAAAATTGCGTTCTTTTGGTTCGTTTTTCTGCTTTTTGCTTCTTTTTTGTTTCGTTTGTTCTGACTTTATTGTTCTTTTGGTCCCAGAAGTTTCACTATCCACAACTCAAAACATATTCCCGGTTTCAAATTTCAGATTCCGAATTCTAAAAACGCAGCGAAAGTTTCAAAAGCTATAATTACATTTGTTTTCTGTGTTACTTCTTCAGAAGAAACAGATCAAGAACAGAGAGAGAGAGACTTGAAGGAGTTTTCAGCTAAAAGATGGAGAATTTATCGAATCAAGATGAAAACGAAGATGCGGGTTATCATCAATCACCTCGATCCATAGACCCGAATGATCAATCAGCATCAGAAACTCCGGTTTACTCGACCATGAGCATAGATTCCTTTGTTTATCCTCGAACTTGCTCAGAGACTACTTCAGGGTTTTCAGACCATATAGATGAGACCAACAGCTTCTGTAGTGAAGCTTCTCCTTGTAACTGGCCTGTCCTCACTGAATCTAAGCTTGATGAGAGCTCCAAATGTCTAACTGGTTTAGAGATTCAATCAGACGAAAATCTTCAAGTCCAAGAAATTTCAGAACCAGGTGCTCTTGTGTTCTCTCTCTCTCTCTGTCTCTTTTTTTATATAAAAAAAAAATCTGAAATAAAAATGTGTTGTTGGTTTGTGCAGAACTTGAGACAATGAAGGAAAGATTCGCAAAGCTTCTACTTGGAGAAGATATGTCAGGAAGTGGTAAAGGAGTTTGCACTGCAGTGACCATCTCAAACGCAATCACCAATCTTTACGGTAAGCATCTTTCACTCACACAGCCTATGTTCTTGTTTCAGACAACTATAAATCATTCTTCATCTATATATCTCTTTTGGTAAATGTTTGCAGCAACAGTGTTTGGACAGAATCTGAGGTTAGAGCCGTTAGAAACAGAGAAGAGAGCAATGTGGAAGAGAGAGATGAATTGTCTTTTATCGGTATGCGATTACATAGTCGAATTCATCCCAAGATGTCAGAATCTAAGCAATGGAGCTACTGTTGAGGTTACATAACTTCTCAAACTTATATGTCTGAAAATTGGAAGAAAATGGAAAAAAATGAAAACTTGCTTGGTGGGGTACTGTTACAGGTGATGGAGAGTAGACCAAGAGCAGATATCTATATCAACTTACCTGCATTGAGAAAGCTAGATTCAATGCTTATGGTACATCCATTATCCAAGAAATGTGTAGATATTTCAAATCATTATGAATCAAAAGAGCTTCTTCTGATCTTTTTTTTTTTTGTCTTTCTACAGGAAGCATTGGATAGTTTCCAGAACACAGAGTTTTGGTATGCAGAAGAAGGAAGCCTATCGATGAAATCTGCGCGTTCTGCGACCGGATCGTTCAGGAAAGTTATCGTACAGAGGAAAGAAGAGAAATGGTGGTTACCGGTTCCTCTGGTTCCGTCGGAAGGTTTGTCTGATAAAGCCAGAAAACAACTCAAAAACAAGAGAGAGAGTACTAATCAGATCCACAAAGCTGCAATGGCTATCAACAGTAGCATCCTCAGTGAAATGGAGATTCCAGAGTCTTACATGGCAACTCTTCCCAAGGTTTTTTTTGTTTACGTTCAAAACGTAAAGACTCTTTTGTGTGAGTCTTGTTCTTAACCCGTTCTTATGTTTGATGTGTCAGCAGTGTGGTAAAAGCAGTGTTGGAGATTCAATCTACCGTTACATGAGTAGTTCGGGTCGGTTTTTCCCAGAACAGCTCCTTGATTGTCTGAACATAGCATCAGAGCACGAAGCCGTTCAGTTAGCAGATAGAGTAGAAGCTTCGATGTACACATGGAGACGCAAAGCTTGTCTTGGCAACTCTAAGAACTCATGGAACATGGTGAAAGACCTTATGTCAAACACAGAGAGAACGGACAAGAACTATGTCATGGCTGAGAGAGCGGAGACTCTTCTCTTCTGTTTGAAGCAGCGTTACCCAGAACTGTCTCAGACATCATTAGATATATGCAAGATTCAGTACAACAAGGTAAACTAGAGAAAGAGTCATTGAATTTGATTTTGTAGTAAGCAGTAAAAAACAGTATTATTATGTTCACTCTGTTCCTGCTTTTTTTGCTGGTTTCAGGATGTTGGAAAAGCTGTGTTGGAGAGCTATTCAAGAGTACTTGAAGGTTTAGCTTTCAACATAGTTGCTTGGATTGATGATGTCCTCTATGTAGACAAAACCATTAGAGGTAGTGAATAAGCTGTTGTAGATTTTGACTTTTACTTACTTTTGAGAAGATTTCTCTGTTTCTTTTCCTTATGTTCTTGTAAATTAAACTCAGATCAAATCAAATGAATGTGAAATCCTGAAAAAAAAGATATGCAGTTTCTTTTTCTCAAATTCTGGAACCTCCCAAAAAAAAACAAACACATTAAGTAACAGAAGCTGCAAATTCATGCAAAAAAAAAAAAAAAAGTGTTCATCAAGAAGGAAGGCTACATATAAAAAATTCAGGGGTGGGAATAATGATAATAATAATAATATTTAGTGGATAAATAATGGAACAAAGAAAACTGAGACAATTAAATTTCGAATCCCCTATATATACAACAGGGTTCCGAACCAGTATGGGTCCGGGAAGATGAAGTGGTATGACCAAAAAAGCAAAAAGGGTTAGTAGTTAAAATACAAAGATCTGAAGAAGCCACACACAGACTCATAGATGTCTCATTAAGACTTGCTGCTTCAGTCTTGTTATGAGCCCCTCAATAAATGATACAGTCTTTAAGGCACCGAAGATCCAAGCTTTTCGCTCCTTGCTCTCTCTCTCTCTCCAGAGCTCTCATTGATCATCAAAACAACTATGAAACAGTAGAATCATTTCAGCTGTCGTCGTCCACTGAACCAATGTAGGTCAGATCAGTCCGTCTGACCCTCACTGCACCTTTTAGCCAACAGGTGGCTCGAAGATTGCCCATATCGCTGCTGTTTGATGCGTTGCTGCCTGATGGACCTGAGCTTGTCCCGTCTTCTAGTAGCGTCCACGGGTCAACCACATCCGTGTTGTCTGCTTCTTGCTGCTGAGACGGTGACAACATTGCCTGCTTCAGCTTCCCTTGCGCTGCTGCTGTTCCGGTTTTTGGAATGGCAGGGGAGTTTCTTTGATTAAGCCCAGCAGCAGCAGCAGATCCTGAGGGTTGAACAAGTGTGAGCGCGGCTGGCGGAACAGAATGTGGCTGACACGAGAGAGAACACCGTAGAGAAGGAAGTAGGATTGGCATCGCTGCTTGGATCCGCCATCTAATGGTGTCTGGTAACTGCATCCGCGCAAGCTCATTCTGCATTATCGACAGCAAAAAAAGGAACAAGAAACTTCAAGAATCGTAATTTACAGTCAAGAAGACAGACAGACTCTGTAGGATTTTATGTTTTTTTTCACAAACCTGTAAGCTCTCTGCTGCATCACGATCAAACAGAGTAAAGTCTTTCGATGATTCATTAGAGGAAGACCTTGGCTTTAGCCAACTTGGCTGGTGATTGCTTAACAGCCCATGGAGTACAAACAGTAAACGGTCAAATAAGACTTCACTAGAAAGATCTGCCATGGAAGAAGGATCCACTGTTGAGTCTGTCTCCGCCTTTGATAGGTCACCACGAGGAGAGCATACAGCAGCATCTTCATAAACTACTCGGCTTCCAAGCAGACGAACTATTGTAGACGCAAGTGTATGCCTCGTGTTCCTAAATGAAGGTTCCCTGAAAAAATAGATTGCCATAGAAAAAGCTCATGAGGCTTTGATTAGGTAACAAGGGAAGAGCCATTTCATATGACTTTTCAACAAATCTGGTTAAACGGAATAGGAAAAAAAAAAGAGAAACAAAAAAGGAGGCTAGAGAGTGAGTACCCGCAGATGACAGTCAGTAATCTTAGAAGAAATTGCAACCGCAGAGACATAGAAGCTCTCAGAGCAGCAGGGGAAGGCGGGGACACAGTCTCTGTAGTAACGGCTGAGGATCGTCGTGCTGCCAAACTAGGGCTACCACCGCGAAGGCCCTTGCGAGTACTTGCTTTATTCGATGAAACCTCAGACCCAGAGGAAGCAGTTCCAATGTTCTTGATGTTTGTTATACTGCGGTTGGTAACTGAACTTAGCTGCTGCTCGATATTGCTAAACTGTCTTACCAACTCATTCACAAAGGTACTTCGAGATTCATCAGAACTTCGATCTATGCATGGAAGCACTAGCTGAACAAAAGCCCTCTCAGTTGTAACGCCATAGCCAGCACTGGGACTAGTCTCATCTAATGCCCGAGGTAATAATACCTTTTTTGAACCCAACCCTTCTTCGATCACTTCCCCTTCTTCGATGGAAGTAGTTTCCAACTTCCTTTTCTTCCCTGCCTTGTTCGCTGTGACAGGATCGGGACTGGAGTTGTTGCACCAACCCCAAGGTTTCCAAAACTGAGGTTTCGTGGGAAGTCCTTTGCTTTCACCTACTATAATCAGTTTTTGTCTGATTGTCTTTCGCCCAAAAAGAACATCTTGGCCTGCTAGAAACCATTCAGCTTGCTTCAACATTGAATCCTCCACCGATCTACCGAAGAGATGAACCACTTCCGAGAAAAGTGGGACCGCATCAGGTCTAACCAGTAACCTTGTCAGGAGGATTTGAATGAAATTTTTCTCATTCTCAGAGGCTTCAGCCTTCTCAGAGGTAGGACAGGAAGATCGTATCGCATCTGTCAAAGGCATATCGTGATTTTCGAGTTTCTCAGTCAGTGCTTGCTCGTTTAGAAGCAGCCTGAGTTCAACCCACTGCCAGTGAAACTTTGCAGGTTGCAGGCAGTCTAATACAGATACGAGCTTGTCCACAAGCTTTGTTCCACTTCCCTGGTGTCGGTTTTTTGCGTCGCTACCTCCTTCGTGGGAATAATAAGAGGATGGCACCTTACAATCAATGATGGAATTTAGGAAAAGACGCGCACGAAGAGGAGCAAAGGCCACTGATTTCAAGTGCATATCCAAACCATTCAACTCAAGTACCGACGCAAACTCAGCATCTGTGGAATCAGCAACTATCAGCTCATAAAGTCCCTGGGTGTCTCTCAAGCACACATCTCGGAAAGGAAGGTGCTTAATCACATCGTTGAAGGCCATTGTCAAAGACTGATAAAGGTGGTGAGTGTCTTCATGGACGCTGGAGTTAGAGTTACCATTCGAAACAAAAGGCCTCCATAGAACAAAGGCAATAATTGAATAGGCAGGTGGGAATACCAGTTTCAGTGGAAGCATGCGCTGCATACGCGATAGAGCCACAACTGAAGATTCCCCCACAAGCTCCAAAACCAGCCCTTCCGAAACGGTTTTGCAGTTACCAACAAGAAGTCTGAACCAATGTACATAAACTTCAATAGGGTTTTCCACTTTGGAGGCTCCCACAGACCTAGCACTGCCATTAGAACTCGATTTTGCACGCCTTACAAACTGAACGAAATCTAAGTACTCCTTTAGTCTCAGCAGACCAACAATCCTCTCAAGGGTTATAACGCCATGTGTGATAGCACCTATCACAAGAGCAGACACAGCTGCAATGACCTTTGTTGCTTTGCTCAGCGCTATCTTCCCAGCACCGTTAGGCATATCATTTGTGGAGTTGTTCGCATTTGAATCATAGGATTCAGGAGATAGCTGATGCTGACCCCGGGATAGCTTCCCAGGGGTAAACGCTACAGCGAGAGCAGTGGAACTTTCTGTTGCAAGCGCTATTTCAAACACTCGGCTTTGACGCTCTCCAAGAGCTTCCTTTAGAAGGTACAGGCAGGTTATATGGATTTGCAAAATGTATCGTGCAATATTAGATGAATCTACGCCAGATGGATGAGTCTGATAAACAGAGAAATCTGAAATCCTTGCCAAGGAAAGGCCTACACTGTTTACGATCGCAGAAACAGCAGAAGAAACCAAAGAGGGATCACCCTCTTGAGCTGCACCGCCCGTCTGTCTAATGCAGTCCATTAGTCCAACTACAATTTGTTGAGCCACCTGATAGCCGTCATCATTTTTCTCAGCAAGTGAGGCTTTCATGGTACCAGTACCGATGAGTTTTCTGAGATAATGAGTTGCGTCTTCAACATGTCGTTGCATAACCTCTTTCATACTCAAACCCACTCTTGAAGGACGAGTACCGCTGATGCTGATTTTTTTACGTAAATAGTCATCTGGATTATCTACTCCTGCTGGAACCCCAAGGGGGATTCCATACTCACCGTTTCCTGATCGTGAATGATCAAGTTCAGAAAGAAGCCTCTTTTCGCATGTTGCTTTGAAACTGTTATGCCATTCCATCATACTGGGAAGACTCCCATATCTTTTGAAGATATAGCGGGCATAAACTAAGGCTGCTGTACCAGAAATTTTTCCATTACTGGACATAAGTGATGCAGCACGGGTCATCAAAGCTGTCATGGCCTCAGGAACAAGATCAGCAGAAAGCAGAATGTTTTCATACCTGAAAAAAATGATCGTACACATGCACCAATTAAATTTCTAGATATACATTTGTCAGAAAAAATATAGATGACTAATAATGTTCACTTATTGAACGGTAATTAAAACCCACCTCCTAAGTGATGATACTAGAATAGCCTCCCCGACTTCACACCTGTTGTTTTCAACATTCCTTGGCACAACTATAAGGTTTCTCCCACCTTGAACGGTAAAACTTGGGCTACTGTTGGCCTTTGGCAATAACCAAAGAAGAAATTTAACCACTGAAACCAAGTCAAGAGAGATATCCATGAGAAATAATATGGAAGATAGCTCGTCTGCCCCAAGCTTCCACCTAACTGTACTCTTTTCTTCAGCTGGAGCACCTCTATTCACCTGCCCAACTCTCCCACTGCTCTTTTCCGACTCTTCAACAAGTTGCCGAACCACAGTTGTAAGCCAAACTGCAATAGACCGCTTATCAACAAACTGTAGCTGCTTCAAAGAGTTTCCAACGGATACAATATCCACAGGGGTAGAAGTTCTAAACACATCAACCACCTTATGGTTTTCTCCTTCCATTCCAGGACCATGATGGGGACAGCTTACTTTATTATCACAAACATGACTCGTTGAAGCGCCCTGGCTACCTTCAATCCTAGCAGCTTGTAGTTGAGCCAGTGACTGTGTTTTACGCGCCATCTTCTGCCTACCCTTCGGTACATGTTTAATTAACTCTATTGAAGCATCAGCCTTCATAGAAGGCTCCAGT